AATACTATTTTAACATAGGTAATAAAATAATATCAACGTATTTTAAATTATTATAATTTTTTCGGTTATCACTGATGTTGATAAATTCGGTTTGTGAACATTGCCCAATCTACGTCTCGGGCATCTAGTATAATATTATATATATATATCTGCGATTTCTATATACACACGTAATTTGTTGATATTTCCAGGGTGAGCATAGGAAAATAATATGGAAAACCTGAAATCATATCGAAATTGCCGATAGTTAAACATTTTAAAACTAATATATTTTATAATCAATGATTATAGTTGTATTATAGTTTTTGTGATTTGTTTTATTTTCATTTGTAGGTACTTAATATAATATATACATATATATGATTTACCGTCGTTTTCGAAACCTGATTTGTTTTTTTGTTTTTGTCCGTGGGCTTTTCGTTGTTGGATTTGTCGACCTAGAATCCAAATTGAACACGTCGATTATCGCGCACGAGAAAATCCGAATCACGGCGTTAATCGCCATTCATCAGTGGTCGGGGTTACCTCAGGTGAACGATGACGACCACGGTTTTGATACCTATACTTTGGATGACAGATTCTCATTTTACAGGTTTATAGTTCTTTCTTTTTACCGCTACGCTCGTCCGCCGCCCAGGCACGGATCCTGAGCAAAGATCTGGGGAGGGGCATCAATTTTTTTACAACACAAATACAATTAAATTATAATATAATACATTATTTATATTATTTTCTCATACAAAAGTCGGAGAAATAATATGTTTGGGGGGAGGGGGCCTGGGCCTCTAGCCCCCCCCCCAAGATCAGTTTCTGCCGCCGCCACCTGTCAATTATTATCACTATTGAATGGGTTATTTGGAAAAGGGAACATTACATGTCCGGAAATTAAAATTTTTCAAATGTAGACAAATTGAATTATCAAAATATCAGCTGTAAATCTATAATCGCCAGCGTTCTAATATTTTAATATAAAGGATAAGGAACATATTGATATTGTTGTTTCCGTTTTGAAACAAACGAAAAAAGACGCGCGTGCTGTTACTATGTATACATATTATATGAACACTTGGATATTATGTTTCGCTTTCACAACTGCTAGTTTTGGTTTAAATATAACAATAGTATATTTTCCTAAAAATCAGATAATTACAAAATTTTGATGTGTTCCAAATTACGCATTCAATTTATTAATAGCCGGCTTACGTAAAACTAATAATCTTCTCGTGTGCCTAACAAGAAAAACAAAAAAATTGCACGTTTTACATATTTCGCGCGATGGAATTTCTTATAGATATTCGAAACGCATGCACCAATGCCAAACACTATTATAATTTGTTTTTTTTTTTTGTTTGTATATTGTCGACACGAACAACGCTTCGTTGGTATTTCACTCTGAACTATTATTATAATCTCGAGATATTATGTATTATATATTTATGGTAAACGAAATTTTATGTCGAGTCATCTTTTAGACAATGGCCATTTACATAATTCGGAACTACTACTATATCTGAGTATCAGCTGAGAGGGTTTATAATAAATATATGAGTTTATTATATTATATCCATCTCGTTTTGTTTTTGTTTCTACGTATCATAGTTTTTAGAGACCATTAATATTGCATATATAATACGTCCGTGAGAACAACTGCACCCTTCGAAAAACAAAAATCTCCTACGCGGTCCGTATGTATATACCTATATAATATACAAAAACCGCGCGACGACAAAGAGTGAAAAAAAAAAAAAATAATAATATAAGCTTACGGTTAGGCTCCTGCTACACGCGAACCATATGGACGCCTAAAGTATAGCGTGTGTAGATAATCGCTGAATTATGGCCAAAATATCACCCATGAAGGATACACACAACAAATCCGCAACACCATAAACGTACATAGTGAAGGTATTGGCGGCGTTTTTTTTATTTTATTTTTTTTTATGTTTATACATTTTTTGATCGTATTAGGCATAAAGGTCACAGGCGTTTTAGAATGTCTTACGCATCAATGACAATCATAATTATACCTATATATATATATATATATATATATACATATATACGCGGCTTTTACACGATATTATTATATTATAATACGAGTGTTTCGTTTTTTACATATAATATTGTTCATAAGTCAAAATATTTCGTTTGCATTTCTTGCAATAATACTTAATATTATATAGGTGTCTTGGCCTCTCGGGCAAGTTACTTTACCAAAGATAATACAATAATAAATTACAATATTACTCATCATTAATAAATATTTTCATTATACTCTGTATTCCGGATTTGTATGTAATCAATGAGTTACTTTATTTCTGTAATCTAAAAACCAATTCATTATACTATTTTAATATTAGGTACATATTTGTAACTATATTCTTTAAGAAAATAATATTTATTTAAATTGGTTTTTATAGACGGTAAAACGGTATCTGATCAATCTTTAATTCATTAAAATTACAAAATATAATTTAGTAAGTAACCTTTTGACATTAATAAATTTATAATTATAGGTACCTTGTCATACTATTATGTATTATAACCCACTATGATTAGTTATTTTTAAAGTAACGCATTACTATATTGAGTTAATATATTGCCAATAATTAAACATATGACTGCAGTTGACAAGTAACAAAGTATTAGTCATTAGTCGTAAAAACAAAAAATTTAATTTCATTGCAATATAAATTAACGGAATTTCAGTAAAATGCGTTACTTTACTATCCAAGACAAGAAGTAAAGTAATCACGACAAATACAATTTTCTTATTCGCTACGTAATTAATATTATAGTTGTACGCATTAAAATATAATATTATCGCTCCTATATCTATTATTTTTTTTCACAGATTCAATAATATTTATTCGCATTAACCTTTTCGTCCCATTGTCTCCTGACATTTTTTCGAGCGTATTCATATTAATTTCGTTTTCAATGAAAATCCTTTAGACATTGAAAACTATCCTCTATACTATAGAGTATATAGTATATAGTATAGAGTCAATACCTATTCACAATATTATTATATCGATCGTACATAAGCATAACATAATAATAATATATCGTTATATATTTTTTTGTTAACCGTGTATTAGTCGCGTCGTATTTTTAATTTTTTTATACATATCTATATAGTATTCTGAAATACGTTTCTTGGTCAATAATATATAACAAGACAACAACAATGAGTTAATTATAAGATACACATAGGTAGGTAGAGTATTGCATTCGCCGGAATAGTTTACTTATAATTTTACAATGGCATTGCTGTGATGATGAGTTTTCGATCTATTTTGCTATACTTATATAAAACGCATTTATAAGTATTGCAAAATAATAAGCTTGGCTCAAGGCCAGAACTTCGTTCATCTGCAGTAATCTTCTTATATATCTGTTATACTATACACAACAATATAAAAAACGAAAATGCAAAACTTAGGTATAAAAACATTATAAACTAAACCATATTTTTTATTTAGATAATAATAATATGTAAATAAAATTAACGAATTATATGTATTGATTATTTCATCGAACATTTTCTTCTCAAATATTTAGGTAAGGTACCTACATAAAAAACCAAAACGTATAGGTGTCGATAATACTGAATAAGTTAAAACATATTTCATGTCAATTATGTTAACATTTACTTAATTATCCCAAGCATTAAAGTTTTAAAATTTTTATTATCAATGATTATCATATATTTGATCTCGGGGAAGAAAGACTTAATAATTGGCATTTTTTTTTTTTTTATAATTTTGCCTAGTGCAATTTGTTTTTCCTTTTTTTTTTATTTAAATAATATAAGTGTATTTATTTTCAAAATTGAATTCGGTTTTATTGAAAACTAGGTACCTATATAAAATTGTAAGATTGTAACACATAATACAGTATAATATAAAACCCTTTATAGTATACATCTAATACTGTAAATTGTATAAATTGTTAAAAAAAAAAAAAAAAACAGTTGTTAATTTATTACCTATGTAATATAAATTATTATAATTTACTTAGTCATTTAAATCTTTTTATTTTTACTTGGTATACATACATTATTTGCTATTCATAGTAAGAAAAATACTATTGAAAATTCCAGTTATAAGAATTGATATTCACATTTTTTTTTAAATAATTTTATCTAAAAATGAAAAAAAAGCCGAAATAGAAATGTGGGTCATTAAATTGTATTTAAATTGAATAACTACCTATTATATAAAAAATTATATAGATACGTTCTACAACACAAAATTTATCTAAGTCTTTCCTGTGCCCAAATATATACGTAGGTACACACCATTGTAGGTTGTCTTTATTTTGGTTTGAAATTGATTGAATCTATGCATGGGAAGTTATGAATAGCCGTATAGTTACTTATTGTTTATTTGAATATGAGTAATTACTTCCTAGTATAGATTTTTTTCAATTCAGTGTTACATTATTTAATGAAAATTGTACGAATTTACTATTATTTACTATTATTAGAATACAGTTTTAGTCAACGGAACCCATAAATGAAATTAATATATTATATATAAGTAAATATATTTATTTCAATGTCTTTATTATACAATGTCATTAGTCAAAGATTATACTCAAAACCTTGTACACTTGTCCACCGACCATTCTAATAAGCGCACCTATATTTTTTTTCAAACAGTCTTAACCGACATTTTAAAATTACATGATATACTTAAAAGATAATTGTCATGCATAATAATTGTATAGATTCATATTCAGCATGTATCTATATTATTATTATTTATCATTGATTATTAACCTTAAACATATAAAATATTTTAATTATTTAGAAATATACCTAAAGTTAATAAACATTCGAGTAGGTATACCTATAATATTTACTATATGTTTTTCAACAAAAAAACATATATTGTAAACAATTTTCAAGTGCATCTATCATCATTGTCTTTAGAACCGAGTGGACACAGATTTACAATAACAATAGTGTTTTTAATTTTTCAGGACCTAGAACAATGTATAGCAGACAAAATCAAAATCAAGGCGAAGCGAGACTCGGTAAGTGCAGCCGAGAATTAGATTAGTCACGTTTTTTTTTTTTTTTTATCTCAATGATAAACATTATTATGTAAGTATATATAGTTTATCACTAATGTATAAATTCCATAAAACTATATAGGTACCTAATATACTCGAAGGAAACGAATGTAGGCATGTTGTTTATGTATTATTAAATTATGTATATTAATCATCATTTATCTATTGTATTTACTGTCTAGTAACAGATTCTGAGAAATTTGATAGGTTCTACGGTTTTTCATTATTATTTTGTGCACAACTGAATGCACGATTTTTTATTCTGGTGATTCACTAAATTATAATTTGTTACCTAGTGTATAATATAAAAAGGAAACGTCTGGGTTCTATGCTAGGTGTAGGTATATATTTATAAAAAAATAAATAAATCGTGTTTCATTTCAAACTGCTATTTTTATAACGTAACAGTTTGTTTAAACGTTGACACATTTCGGTTGTCTGGACCGCGTAACGAATACTATTAAAAATAGAAACTGAACTAACATTTACATAAGGATATTTCACCTTCACAATAATAATTGTTATTTTTTTTTCTCTAAACGGTCACGTATAAAATAAAATATTAATGCAAATTAATATGGTTAACTAAACTACAGCAAGTTAACGGAGGTAATAATTATGCCATAAATGGTGTATAATACCTATACCTAGTATGGAACGATATTAGTATGAGTCATCACACTAAAATTGAATATGAACACGAAAATTTACTTTATATATTATAATACTTTCCAGTCTAGCCACTATTTAACCCCTCCGGATATTCCATCTGTTAGGTAGGTAAGTGGTTCTCGTGTAGATTCCTCACCCTGATTAAATTACTCCGGAGGCTTGTCTATACTGCAAGTTATCGGTTGTAAAATACATATTCCCGGTATAAAACCTTGACACTGTAATAATATTATTGTAGTATATTCCATATAATTACGTTACAACTTATAATTAGTATTAACTCGACAATAATATTTATTGCGTACCTATATTATATAGAACTTTTACTGGACGACTTGCAGTCAACTCTTCCACGTAAAAATCATGGACTCGGCAACACGTCGTCTACCGGGTACAGAGAAGTTACTAAAAGCACATCGAGAACGATCGGTAACGGTCAAACGGAAACCAATAAAGAATATGAAATCCAATATCTCAATCCCTCCAACAAGTCTACTGTGCTTAGTGAACGATTGCCCGATCTCCAATCGGTCGACTTGCTGGTCTGTGTCAATAATCATATATCTAAATATATATTATATGTTATCGTTGTTTTCTGCAACTTTTTGTAACTTAATATATTAAAATTTCAGCGACAGACAAACAATGGAAAAAATGCAGGTTATGAAACGGTATCGTCGTACCAGTATAAGAAATCGTCAGAAAGTACGGATACCTAGTCGTTATCATTGTTTCCGTTTAAAACGGCGTTTGTAACGGTATAATATATTATTTTTAGGTAAAGGCACATTGCCCAGACACGAAACAAACGGTGTAAACATGAGGCAAAGCATTTCTGAACTCGATTCATTATTAGACGATTTGAATCATGCTCAGAGAGTAGGGTTTTCCAATTCAGGAGTTAACAGACATGAAATAACAACTACCGAGACAAACATGTAAGTTTATTGTAGGCAATACTTTGTGTAGTACGAATTAGTACGTTTAATTGATTACGAAGGGGTAAAAACTTAAACGCATACTACACATTGCTATGACATATTATGATACTCAACATTTTAAATTGTCCACAGTGAACCATTGAGGAGCAGTACACCATACAAACAATATGGAAAACAAGAAGAACATAGATATGGAAGTCTTAATAGGTCCACAGTACCTGCAAGAACGACAGAAATGATTTCCACTTACGAAACGACAAAAACAAACGGAGAACCCATAGGTTAATAGCAGTTTTCATTTAAAAAAATCATAATATTTTACGAATACCTAAAAACCTATGTTACTTGTAAATATTTTCGTTAATAGATTTGGTTGACGCGCCACGCAGTTACACTAAACTGCTTCAAAATCAATCGCCTGGGACTTATCAGACCTCTGTATATTCGAAAGAAACTACGAAAAAAATTATACCGGGTACAACAACTTATTCGACTTACCAAAAATTTGGTTCACCCACCACAGATCCAGGTCAATCTAAGGTGTACAATTATTCAGAAGAATACCGTACTGAAAACAGAAACCGTTCGTTGAGAGATTTGCCACCTTCGCCCCGTTCACATAGATCTTCGTCACCGCGTTCACCGTCTCCACATCGTTCACCGTCACCAGTTTCTTTTGCTCAACCACCAGAACCTAGAAATTACTCATCAAGCAGTCACTCTTATACAAGTAAGAACTTGTCTCCTCAGCCGGTCCAGAAATTCAGCCCGTCTGATCCAAGCAGAATTAAGTAAGTTATTGATTATAATATATCATCTATAGTACCTGTTTTCCATAAAATATCATTTCGAGAGATTGTAATGCGTGTGTGTATGTCACAGCGAAGAGGTAACCTGGGTCGCCAATGCCACGCCCCCCGTAACTCGTCGTTTCCCTGTGAGGTTAGTAAGCGTTTATGGAGGTTAATATTGTGATCGTACCTGAGGTTCATGATTGTGTTCAGGGAATGTGACGTGAACTTATTTTTGAATAAAACTCATTAACTTATTATAAACATGTATTCGCGGTGTTTTATTACAGTTTGGACAATACTTTTTCTACTCCGCCCGGCCAAACAGTTTACACGTATAAGTATTCGACCGAAACACGAGAGAACACTAAGTACAACGGACAACCAAATGGGTACACAAAACCTGTGTACCAAGATCAGTTACCATTACGTCAATCGCCGTTCCCAAGGGAAGACGCTGATTCGCCTTCTCAACAAAATCCACCAAAACGGTTGGATGATTTGATGGCGTCGTTTGGCGATAGAACGGATTATTCAACTTACCACAGTAGTAGAGAACATCACACAAACGTCAACGACTATCAATCACAATCTAAAGACTATGGAAATAGTAATAGGGGTCCAGTAGAGTATACAGTTCCGATTAAAAAGCCACATCCCGAAAATCAGGTACCCGAGAATAGAGGTCCAGGTAAACTGCAAACAGAAATTAAAGAAACTGAAGTGACACAGTCGGTTGCTGGACCACCAGTTTTCTATCCACCTGGATCAACAACGTTTGTGAAAAAAGAAGAAGTAATGCAACAGGTATAAATATTTGTATAACTTGTAGTGAAAGTTAATAAATACCTACCTATTAACTTAATCGTTCAAAATGTTTGCTCTACAGCAAGGTGGTCATGGTCATGGGCAAATGAAGGCTAAGGGTAAAGGAATGTATAAATACAAAAGCAAGAGCAAGTCAAAAGAAAGCTCAAGTTCTGGAGCAACAATGGTACCAGTATGTTTGCCAATGTGTTGTGCCATGCCATGTGTAATCATGTAACCTAAGACATTATAATTAGTTAAGAATAACTTTACTAACTTAATTACACCTACATATTGACACAAATAATAAACAATTAAATAGAAAATCATTATAAGGTGACCTGAAAATGGTTTAATTTATTAATCACATAATATGTTACCTATCCATTTATTTACCTAATTTGTTTAATACACTGTTGAGCAAATAAGAAAAGTTTTAATATCAAGGAAAGAACATAAAATGTTGTACTTAAAAATAGTACCTATATACTACTTAAGTTTTTACAAATTTGTTATTTTTTAAAATGTTTAAGCTTCATGGTATTTTCATATCATGTAGGTACTGAAAGAATGTAAAACAAATACCTATTGTATGTACCAATTTGCTTATTTATAAATGTGTTGTAATAAATTATAAATACGTTCTATATACTACTAACCTCAATGTAAGCATAATTTATTAAATTGTTATTCATTGATTGTAATATTTACAGGGAACATACGCATCTTTAAGATTTAAATTGATAAATTACATAGTTATCTTTTTAGTTTATATTAATATTAATAATTAATAACAGATGGAAATTCTATAAGATGTTTTACATTTCATTAACTATATTGTGTTAAAATATTGAAATAAATTAGTCTACACACAAATAAATTGATATATTATTGTTTCATATATGACAACTGTATTCATATTAAATAACAAATGTTTTTGATTAAGAAAATGTTAAATTATGTTTTAATATATGAGTATAACACAATAATCGAGTACCAAAACCCACAGATTTAGTATTGCCATATATTGTTTTTGTTGTTTTTTTTTTTTTTTTAATTATACAATATATATTATAAAACAGCAAATAATATTATACACTTATATCAATATTAAAACAGACTACCGATAATGTTTATATTTTAAATTTTGTTTTATTTGATATAATATAACACCTTATAAAAAGTATAATATTTTTATTATGATTTAGTGGTATAAAATATTACAATGACGACTCAAAAACAGCTGTCAGAATTTTATTTTAATTAAATGTGAATTTATTTTGAGCGCACAATTTGTACCTACTTCCGTAAATATTAATTTATACTGTTGTTGAATTTTGTTAAAACTATTAATGTTGAATAATAAAAATTGTTATATTGCAAAATAATACAAATTAAAGTTATTCTATTTTTATTTTATTTTTTAAATTTTTCTTAGAAAATGTTAACTAGTTCTTTAACCTGATATTATGCTATTTGCATGTTACTGCATTCAATCATAGAACAGAAATTATAATCTGTTAGACCATTAAATAATTTATTAATATGTTTATTATGGGTATTTATATCGTACATGTATAATTATTTAAATTTTATTTTTATTTTCTCTGAGTAAATTGTACCTATTTTTCAATTATAATAAAATATAATATTTTTAAAATTGGAGAAATATTTGAAAAATATTTTAGAATTTTTGATGAAATATAATATATTTCTTTTATACATTATTTAAAAAATTTAAAATGTTATATATTATAGGCTGTTTAATATTTTATTGGTCTATGCTATTTGATAATTGTCAACAAATCAGTAGGCTTTTTAACCTGATTTTTAATATTTATTAACCTTTAGTTAGGTATGTAATAAAAATTTATGAAAGTAAGTATGTGGAGTGTTTTTATTATTTTACATTGTAAGTCGTAATTTAAATTATTCAGGAACTGAAGCATATCAACAGTTTAATTTCTCTTCAATCTGTCTTCTTTTAAGTGTACATTAATAGGTACATATGTATATATTTTTTTATTTGGATTTATTTTTCATCTAGGTAAAATATTGAAGTTACTTTATGAAAACTTTATACAATATAATATTTCTTATATTAACTCTGAGCAGAAAATTTGACTGGGTGGCACTATAGCTAAGAACTGGGCTTAGTGCCTACCTTATATTTCAATGCACCCTTCGCATGTAATTTCCATAGCCCAGATAAACCACCCTTGGGCCAATGTTAAATTGGAGTAAATAGGTAGTTTATATCAGTTATCAGGTTACAAAGTAGGTATATCTGCTTTTTAAAACTTAAATACAATAAAAAAAACAAAACCATTATTTTCGAAAATTGTTCTGTTCTTTTCAGGTTTTTCTTAATTATAATGAAAACAACATGAAAAATCGAAAAATGATTACCTATTTGGTGAGATCCAAAATGAAACAAAAATGGTCTTTTGTCATTTTTTTATTGGAGCAATATTTCTGGTAGAACATATAAGCAGTAAAAATTGAAAACAATAATACGTCGTAAATTTGTTCGTTTTTCATTTTTAGTCTTTTTCTGGCTTTCTCAATTATTATGAAAACGCCGCTTCTGAGCTGAGTTCGGTTATAATGTTTTAAAAGACTGCAATTTTTACAATTTTCATCAAAATTTGATATAAAAATTCGTATAAAACAAAAACGAAATACTACTATAAACTTTTTATTGTGAACCACTATGTAATACTTAAAATGAACCACCCGTTAAATTTTCAAGCATTTCTGTTAGGTCTAAACATTTTATCCACAGACTACAAAATACCTAACGAATACAAATTAGGTACGTAAAAATTCGCAAAATGTAAATGTCTATAAATAGCTCAAAAAAAGGTAAATATACATTTTCTGTTCAATTTTCAAGTCTCTACAAACATTTTGAACAGATTCTCAACAAAAAACAAAATTTAAAATAATACAATGTACCCAAATCAGTGAGAATAAAAAAAAGGTGTACCCACTTTTACTGAATCAAGAGGTATTTTTTCCTTGGTACACTTTACATCAGTGGGCCAGGAGCGGAAAAACTGGAAGGATGAAAGGGATATATCACCTTCCCCCATTACTTAATTTTTCCTAAACAATGGCATAGCCAGGATTTATTAATGGAAAAAGTTAATAAGGGGATTTATAACACCAACAATCCGTTCTGGCTATGCTAATATTCTCAAACATTTATAAAATATAATATAATATATTATATTGTTTTGGAACAAATGTAGCTGAGCACTTTTTCGAAATTTCAAATTTTTTTTTTCCGGAAACCTGTGTATTTCAACATTTTAAAAATTATAGTACCAATACTTTTTCCGGAGATCATTAGCTATGGAGTAATGCGGGGAAAAGTATCCTAATATTGTATTAGCATACTATTCTCGTACATCGTATAACTCGATTTATTGTGCAAAATCACGTCGGGTAGGTAACATGGTAAAATGAAAAAGCATTATAGGGACTAGAGACGCAAGGTGGTCACTAGCTCACTACCCTCACTCAGACAATTTAAAAATAAAAAAAAAACTAAAATACCCGAATTTTAAACTTATTAAATTTAATTATAATTCAAAAACTGATGATTTATCAAAAAAAAAACAACTTTTGGCACAAATTTTAAAACGTTGAGATCCGAAAAAAAAATATCCGAAATGTCGAGGAGGTGCTTTACTAGATTTATCTTCCCTATTAAACATAACAAATTCAAGCTGTTTAAGAAGATAAAAAGACTAAAAAAATTAATTACTTGTATTGAAATTTTTTTTTGTGTATTTATTTTTAGATTCTGAATGTAGTGAATTAATAATTTCTACTTCTTAACTTATGTAGGTCTAATAATAACCCATTTTAAATAATCTTTTCTATTGAAAAAAAATTATTTCTATGTTAAACGACCAATTTGTATAATTTTTTTTCCATGTATTCCTTCATTTAATTTTTTATATTCAGTCGCGTTTTACATTTTGATTGTGATATATCTAATGATGAATTTTTAATCCGAAACCGGTCGTATAATACACTAATCATAATACTCTAGGCGGCGCATTTATTAACTTTTTATTTATATATTTAAAAATATGTTTAATTTTAGATTCCGAGTGTAGCAAGGGAGCTATTGGTTTTACTAAAATATTTTTTTTTTTTTAGTCCTTGGACACGTTTTTTCTTAGTAAACTTACTCCGATTTTTACGTGTAGCAACCTATCTGAAAGATCAAGTTGTCTAGATGGTACTTTAAGAAGGCCATTTTTTAAATAAAAGCACTTAAGTGGGAAAATATACAATTTCACGATTTCATTATTTTATAAAAACACGGACGACATTTTCTATCAGAAAAAATGATTTAATCAAAGACAACTTTTTTGTTGACTTTTTGATTTACTTTCTTACGGTGTCATAACCAAAACTTTTAAGTTTTTAAGGAATTTTAATTTTTGGGAGTTTTTGTTGTAATTCGGTTATAAATACACGTAGAGACTTGAGACTTGGTGATAATACTTATATTGGACTTACCTAGATGTGGTAAAATTTCTAAAATCATTGGATGACTTTTTTTATTTTTAGTAAGCGTTTTGAAATCAAATTTAAATGAAAATCGGAAAAAAAAATTATTGTACTTCAAATTATGTATTACCGATTTTCGCTTGGAATCGTCTTTCATCGAGCAATGGTTTATTGTTGCTTACAGATATAAATAAAATAACCTTATGTTTCTTACCTTCCCAACTTCTTGCCTACAACAGTGGCCACTCTCATCACTAGTATTAGCTTTTTTTTTTTACCAGTAAGCTAATTCCGATGTATATGATGAAGACTTTTTTCTGAAAGGAAATTTTCTCGGATTGGTACTTTAAGGAGGTCATTTTTGAATTTTCTCAAGAGATGTGACAAACCGTAAAAAACAGGAAAATATATAAAATGTAGGTATTATTTAAAAAATATTACAGACTTTTTTTTAACTGATAAGAATTTTATTAATAATTAATAAGAAAATAAATTTGAAAAACATATAATAAAATATAGTATAATGGGAGATCTTGTAAGTTACAGGTGACAGTAAATTTTACAGGGGAGGCCGCGGTTTTTTTACGACATACTTTACAATTTTAAAAATCTTTATTTATTCATAGTCACAAATTAATAACCATGTATTAAATAAATTAGGTAATATTAAAATATTATACTACTTACCTACCTTTCCTATTTTTTAGGACTATGGAAACGAAAAAAATAATTTTAGCTTCATTCAGCATCATAATAATGCTATAAAGAATTCTTTATAGATCTATGTTCTACAGCTTGCTTTCCAGACCTGTTTTCAAGTCCAAAGCCGTCAAGATATCTACACTCTACAGAACGGTTTAAAATTTAAAGAACGTGATTTATATTTTATACAGATAGATTTCTATTGGATTCTTAATTTTTTTTGAAAGGTAAATAACGAAAATGGTTATCAAACATATGGTCAGTTGATAACAAATGGGCTGTTTAATTGGAGAATTTAAATTCCTATTTATTTTCAGTAATCAGATTTTCAGTGTTCAGTTTATAGTTTGTACACTATTTTTTTATATTTTATACATATTTTTCAAATTTACACTTAGATTATTTTTCCTGGGGATTGTGTTGTATAATTGAGGTACAATTAATTTGATTTATAAATTCTCTATATTATTATTTTGGTAAAAGTTAAATAGGTATTATAATTATTATTAGTAGTTAGGTAGGTATTATGAATAATATTATTGGTGAAGTATTAAAGCTCTTAGATTCTTCTCTATCAACAGACTTTGACTATAGCAATGTTAATCAATCACTAGATTTCTTATTTCGCAAATCATTTAATGGTAAGAAAATGTCTATATTATATTACTATGTAGCTATTATATTGTACAATATTATTATAGGTAGTAGACATTTTTTTTCATTTAGACTTCTACATTATTTTCAATGTTTACTGTATTTCATTAAGATTGTCAATCAGATAATATTCTGGTGTCATTATCATCTGTTGAAGCTGTACTGGAAAAAGTATGGGAATCACTTCATACAGGTGTCTGGGATAATGCTTCAGATGATATTCGTAAACTTTATTCCCATGCTAGTTTACTCAAGGTAAGCGGTATGTTATTATATTTCTATAATATTTTATTAGTTTATTATTATTTTCTAGACTAAATTGTTGTTGAAAACTTCCAATAATGAAATAGCTCTGAAAAAAACTATAAAAGCTATTGATATGGGATTGTTAATGGGGAATTCATTCAAAAATGAATTAACTCAAGCTGCAACACTATTGTGTAAAGCTCTACAGTTATATAATTCTGGTACAATTACTTAAGATTATTCATATAATTATATTAGTTGTTAATACAAAAACATATTTTCTATTTAGTGTCTCCGGCAGCATTAGTATGTAATGACAATAAATCAAACGACAATAATTGTACACTTGACAGAACTGGTGATCATATTCTAACAATACATCAACCATCATTAGAAACATTTTTAAGAGATTTTCTACAACCTAAAATACCTGTTAAAATTACTGGTAAAATATAACACAACATTATAATATATTTGTTTTTAACAGTGACAATAATATTATATTAGATGCTTCTTAATAATTAATAGTTAATTGTTCAAAGATAATGTAGATAATATATCATAATTTGATTTTTCACAATTTTAAATAAATCTTGACTTGTAAAAAATTCTTTGATTAATTTATAATATAGGTAATATGGAACATTGGCCAGCATTAAGCAAATGGGAAGACTTAAATTATCTTATAAAATTAGCTGGACCAAGATTAGTACCAGTTGAAATAGGATCATCTTACACAGATTCTGAATGGAGTCAAAAATTGATAACTCTTGAAGAATTTATTAATACTCGTATTCTTGAGAATAATGAAAAACCAACATATCTTGCACAACATCAACTTTTTAATCAAGTAGATATAAGTGAGTAATGAACTAATTTCCAATAATTTTATTTATATGTTATTGTTATTTTAGATTCCAGAGTTGAAAGATGATATCAGAGTCCCAGATTATTGTTACTTAACAGAAAATGATGGGGAAGAACCTGATATTAATGCATGGTTGGGTCCCAAAGGAACAGTTTCTCCAACTCATTATGATCCAAAAAATAACTTTTTAGCTCAAGTACATTTTTGCCTATTTATTTTAATGATTAATACAAGTTTCTCTTATATATTTAAAATATAAGTATATTGTATACTATAAATATTTTTCAAATTTAGGTGGTTGGTTCAAAAGATATTATTTTATATGATCCCAAATGGTCTAAGTGTTTGTATCCATATGAAGATAAATTTCTTATGAATACAGCTCAAGTAAATCCAATAAAGCCAGATTTAAGTAAATTTTCAAATTTTCCTCAAGCAAAGGCTACTCTTTGTACATTAAACAAAGGTACAAATTTAAAAAATAAATGTTTGACCAATATATACATATTTATTATGAACCCTAAAGAACAACACCAATTATTTACAATGTTTAAGTAATTCATTTTCATTAATCTATTTTTATATTTTACAGGTGAAATGTTATTTATACCACCTGGTTGGTGGCACAGAGTTGAATCTCTGTCTGTGAGTTTTTCTGTGAGCTTTTGGTGGAAGTAAATGAAATATTTTTGTCCTAATAATTGTTATTTATTTTTATTTTTATCGTTACAAAATTACTTTTAAATATTAATTGTTTTGTTGATTTATATTATTGTATAGATAATGAGATTTATATTTTTATTACAAACCAAAATATAATTCATTATTTAAGTAATAATAACATAATATTATATCAGTAGTAGTATCACTGATAGATACATCTATTCTGTGGTAATATAGTATAGTATTATATAAATACAATTTGGATTCACTAATAGAAGCATTAACTTATACTAGTTCTTAGAATGTACAATGTATATTTACATAAAATTGATTTGAGTAACTCAATACACTTAATTTATTATTTATATAAGCCAATTAATTGTTTAAAAGGTGATTTGAATAATACATAATGTAATATTGAATATGTTTTGTGACTAAAATCATGATTTCATATGATTATTTCATAATTTATAATTTATTTATTTTATAGTAGGTATAAACGTATTTCTGTAAATCTTATTTTAAGGATAAAAAAAGTCAGTTCTGATGAAGTGTCACTAGTAATGACAGAAAATAGTACTGTTATATCTAATAACTAGGGCTCAGATTTTAAAGCAAAATAAATAACAAAAAAGCATGACTAAAAATTAATACGAATTAGTTATAAAACTGAATAAAAAAAATTGAAAAATTGAAATTAAAAAAAAAAGATTAATTATCATGTATTTTTCTAGATTCACAGTAGTAAAACTGACTATTATCTGAATTATTTTATACATAAAAAACAAAATATTTATAACTTTATCAAATAGTTGAAATATTGTACTATGATTAACTTTATCCAAGTATTCTGTGTGAATAACAAACATGTTACTTGGATTTTGTGGTTGTAACGTACCCACTATTACATTTGCAACATTACAACGTAGTTTCATCAATAGATACCCTTATTTTCTGACCAGTAATTGTATCACAGATTTTTATCAATGTATTTTCATAGCATGAATCGAAATATCCTTTACGTTGTCGACTCGTAAGGAATAGGTTTTTTGCAATATTTCATTAGAAATTTGAGAAAATGCTTATTATTTAATTTATTCATTGGAATATTTGTAGCTACCAATGCTGAATATAAATTGGCATTAAAATGTGACTGACTTCTAAATTGTAAAACTGGTTTAAATAATGCATACTTTTCATTTTCATGTCTTTTAACAGCTTGCACATGTTTTTCTCTTTGTACGTGCTGCTGTACATTATATTTCTTTTCTTACGACACTTATTTCACAAAGTTTGCATTATAAAATCGATCTATCCGTTTGAAAAAACTCTTCACCAAATTCTAATAATTCTAATTTTTAGCATTTTTATACAATACAAAACTAAAACTTAAAATTTGAAATGGTTTATATCGATGTGATAGGAGTACTAACTCTACAGGCTATAAATAGGTTAATAAGCTATCGATAATCTATACGTTTAATACATATAACAATAAAACCGATAAAAATAATAATAATCCTATATAACCATTTAGTCTGTATACTGGGTTTTCACACTTCTCATTAATTTAATATTTTTTTTATTACTGTTAAAAATTGAAATTAAAAATTCTATAGCTGGAATAACTGAAAAAACCATTTACACAAAAATAATAATAATAAATTGGTTTATTAGGAGTCAGAATGACGTGAAGCGAATTTATGTATACAAATTAAATTTATATCTCATATATAAAAAAAGAAGCATTTTCTTTAAAATTCGAGCTCTAATAATAAGTATGATAAAATATAAATTATAATTTAAGTTTTAATCATAATAATTTTTTAATTTCTTTTATAAATTTCATATTTAATAAGGCTGAAAAAAATTTTATTTTACTATACAATTATCAAGTTATCAAAATGTAGAACTGAAAAAAAAGTTGTAATAATTGATATGAATAATTTCTTCACAGACATCATACGACCAATAACAGCCCAAGGTTTTCTATGGGTCTCTAGTAATGGATGATAATAGTTTTCATATAATCTGTGATAATATTATGCCTATATTCAGTCTTTGAGGCCATGATTATAATTGCCGCCAAAAATTACTTTTTGATAATAGTGTTTTGTTAACGTACGTTGGGATTTGGACTATAGAACCGGACCAGAAAAGAAACAGATTTCCTGTCTTTGGTTGTTTATTTTGTAAATAATATCGTCTGTTTGATCTATCGTGCATATGAAAATATGAGTACTGCTTGCGATATAATGAAGGATCACGGGACGGAATTTAATATGTCGACCATCATGCAGTGTGTACAAGAATTAAAAGCTTGGCAAGAGTCAGAACAACAGAAATTGAGCAAAAATGAAATGGAAGAAGTATTAAAGTCATTTGACATACCTACAAATGTAAAAGGTAACAAAGGTTATATTTTATTTACTGATCAAATCTTAAAACGTTTAAAATAATTCTATGTATCTATAAATTAGATAATACATAGGTATTATAAAGTAAACTAAATAAACTATGTACCTATTGGTATTGGTTTTACAATAATTTTTTATTGTACTGTATACAAAATTTCTACCAGAAATCTTGCTCCAATTTTCAAGTGTAGCTCTTTTTCTGAAAGTAAATTTTATCTAGTTGGTACTTAAGGAAAGTCATTATAGGTACAACTGAAGGGGTCCATTATGAAAATAATAATGGATAAGTATTTCATAATTAATGATTAGAACAAAATACAGATTTTCTAGACAATGTACGTGTGTATGAAAAATAATATTAAAATAGTTATGATAAATTTGTGTTTATACAATTTTAAATTTGTAGTTTATGTGTAGTCATGTAAAGGGAATTGTGGGGACATATTTTCCCATGTCTTTGAAATGTCCATATTCTTAACAGCCTCAAAATTGGTGATCTTGTTGCATCTATGTGAATCATTTTTGTGATTTTCCAAGTGGTTTTCATAATAATTGTGAACAAATGTAGAAAGAATGGGCAAATTATGAAAATAATGCTTTTCTTATTTTCAATTTTATTTTTTTATTATAATTGAGATAAAAATATTCCTAAAAACTTGAACTGTGGACAGAAAATTTATATTTTCCTTTTCAAGAGTTAGTAAAATTTTTAAAACATTAAAACCATTTTTTAACTATTTATAGAAATTTTCATTTTGTGGATTTTTTTATTAATAAAATTTAATATAATCAAACATAATTTTTATTCAGTACTACTCTGCAGATAAAATTGTTAGACCAAACAGAAATCCTTGAAAAATTAACAGGAGGTTTATTATACATTGTTCTTAGTGGGTAACAAGAAAAAGTTGAGTTTAATGTAGTTTTTTTTTTTTTTATAAGAATTTTAATTTTTAATTTTAAATTTGGACCAAATCGTACATATTATAGCTTTTTAAAACATGTATAACCAAACTTTGCTCAGAGTCGTTTTTCATTAGTAATGGTTAATCATTGTATACAGATGTACATTAAATTCCCCTCTATATTCTACCTTTCCAACTTTGCACCTACAACAGTGGTCTTTTAATTGTGTAAAGTATGTCCGTATTTTTTATTATATTATCTCAATAAATAAACACCTTATATATAGTAAATATGAAGCATTATTGAAATTGTCTATAAAACTATAGATTATTTTCCTTTTACATTTCAAATCAATAAAATTACAGAATTTAATTTTAGATATATTATTTTCAGAAAACTATTACGATGATAGGGTGTCTTCCTATTCAGAAATAGATGAGGAATTATTAGAAAAGTTTGGATATCAAAATCATAATAATATTTCATCGCCGGTAAGAAATAATATAATATAGGTAAGTACCTAGATAGTTTTTGAAAATATGTTTTTTTTGTTTTTGTTTTATTTAGGTTTCAAATTTACAAGATGATCTACAATTAGAACCACCTAATAAAAATGTTGGTAAAAGTTGCCAAATTAATTCAATAGATTGTGGTAGAAATCAGATAAGAGAAAATCAATTAGACAATGAAAATAAAAACATTTGTAATAATATTAAGCCAAAGAAGCCATATTTAAAAAGGGGAGCAGGATTGGCCAGATACGGTTTAAATTTAAATGAAATAAAAAAGAAAACTGGGAAATTAAAATTCCACAAACCATTAAAATCAATTCCATCTAAAATTAAAGTACCAAGAGACTGTTTGAATCAAGTTGTACGATTTCCTAGAACAGAATTTGGTAAATTAAATAATTAATCTATTTTCTTAAAAGCAATAATCTTACAATAATTTATAATTTTGTTTGTTTTAAGCTACTAAGTCAACTGAAAGTACACGTCTAGATTTAGAAAAAATCAAAGTTGCTGATTCGTGGAATAGATATGACTGTAAAGATTTTCCAGAGAATAATGAAGATGATAATAAAGATCAAAGTGAATTACGAGCATTTGAAATGTTAGAAGAACGTACCAACAAATCAGATTTTAATGCATCATCACCCACTGTTGGTGAATTATTAAAAAAAGGCCAACGTTCCAAATTCAATAGTGAAGTACCATCATCAGGATTGGTCCGTTCTTTGAAATTTGAAAGAATTAATACATCCACTCCTCATCAAAATTCTAATGACTCTGATGATTCTTATTCTGATTCGAGTCAGGAATGTGATCCATTAAATTTGTCAGAAAATGTGGTGAAAAATACCAAGATAGCAAACAATGACAGACAAAACAATCATATAAAAACTAATCAGATTATTCTTACTGAAAACGAAAAAAAGTATTTAGAAAACTATACTAAATCATCTATAAATATAAAACAAACTAATTTTGATCAATCATTTGATACTGAATTACTTACTAAGAGACTTGAAGAGTTGGAATCGGAAATTGAAAAATTTCGTACAGAAAATACTAAGTTAATGAAGTTACAACGAGAGTTTGAGACTGAAAGGCAAAAGTTTTTCAAGAGCAAAGATGATTTTATAAAAAAATTGGACGAAGAAAAAAAAAGGGAAGAAGAAAAGTTGGCAGATGAAAGAAAAAAATTTATGAAAGAAAAAAGTTTGTTTGACAAAAATGTTAAAGAATTAAGAAACAAACCTAATAGAATAGAAAGAGAAGAAATAAAACAACTTAAAGAACAAGTTTGGTTTTTATATATATTTTTTGCTTATAATTTAAATTATATATATTTATTTTATTTCTAGATAACTGAGTTAAAAGAAGAGTTCAATAAAAAAGAAGCCCGGTGGGCAACTGGTCAGGCACGGTTGAGGACTCAGATGAAATTATTAGAGAACAGTAATTCAGCTTTGCGCAGTGAACTTGAACTGTTCCGAAAAACATCTATAAATAAAAAAGTAAATTTGAGTAAATATAATTATTAGATAGATATAAAAAAAATTCTAAACTGTTCTTTTAGGTAACTTTTAAATCACCAACAGAAAGACAAACTTTAAGGAATACAAAAATGATTCATAATGTTAATGCAGAACTCAGTAAACTAACTCCTGATAATATAATGATGATGATTGACCCCAAAGCAAAAAAAATTCCTGCATCAATTTTAAGGAAGGGTGTAGGCACATCTACTGATAATAATGAATCATCAGAAGAGATGTTCTCCAATGATAATTCAATGTATACTGATGATAATTGTAATGAAGATGATTATGCTGAAACCAATGAAACTAATAATATTGAACACAATAGTAGTGATATAATACGGGAGACTGTTTTAGATGATGGTCGTAAAGAAATTTTGTATTCAAATGGTAATTTGAAAAAAATTTCTGCTGATGGCATCAATATAAAAGTTATTTATTATAATGGTGACGTAAAAGAAACAAGAGAAGATTCTGAGCGATATTATTTTGCTGAAAATAAAACTTATCATTCCACTTACAATAATGGTTTAGAGATAATCGAATTTCCTAAGTAAGTTATCTACAAATTATTTTATTAAAATGCAATTATATTCATATTATGTTTAGTTATCTAAATTTGTATGTATTCTGTGTATAGTGGACAAACTGAAAAGCATTATAAAGACGGAAAAGTAGAAATTGAATATGTAGACGGTAAAAAACACACCGTGTATCCAGATAGAAAGGAAGTTTGGAATTACTTGGATGGTTCAGTTTTGACGGTGAATCCAAATGGGCACCGTGAATTAGTGTTACTAAATGGTCAACGAGAAATACATACCAGTGAATTTAAAGTATGTTTATTATTATTTAACTAACTGACATTATTTTTATTTTAATATTAAGTTATAATTTTCATTCGTAACAATATTTTTCATTATGTTTCATATGATATCTTCATTACTTTGTATGCGATCTAGTATACATTTATTTATTTGAGGACTGCCATATTATTTTAAACTTAATTATGTACATAATTAATATTTATGATAATAATGTATTTTATTTGTATAGAAAAGAGTATTTCCGGATGGCACATCAAAAATCATGTATCCAGATGGGTCACAAGAGACCAAATATCCTGATGGACGAATAAGAAAAAAAGACAAAGACGGTAACTTGACTTTGGACACCAGCGTTTCGTCATAGAACATTATTTTAGAAATTAGATTCATATAAATTGTTAATTTTGCACTAAATTATTTGTATTTATAAATATATATATTTTTTTTTTTACAATTTTATACTTATTTTTATAACAATATTTTAGTTTATTATTTTGAATATTTTACTACACAATTAATAAATATTATTTTATATTTTGATAAATTTTTATATACATAATTTTATTATAAAATATTCAAATTTGACCTACAAATCATAAGTATTTTTCGATTTAAGGAATTTTAATTTTTTCGTTCTTGTAATGAACAATTATAACAAAATTTTGGTTGTATAACTAAATATTAATAATATAATAACACTAATAGTTTTGTTAGAAGTACTTTTGGCAAAAAAAAAAAAAAATGTAGGCTTTTTTATCTAGTGATAAAAAATTATCTTGTTATTCATTTGAGTTGTATTTTATTTCATAGATCGAGAATAAATTATAAGAACATAGTCAAATGAGACATAATATTTATTACTGGATATAAGGAACTGTTAATAAATAATAAGACTTCGGGCTTTGATTTTCCAGATGTTAAAAATTGTAAAATTATGTTTGTGGTTTCTTTGACAAGAATTTCCCTTGAGTAAATTAAATTGAATTCATAATCAAATTAGAATACTGAATTAACTTGATTTTTGGTTATTTCATAGTTACATACAATATTAAGCATAAACGTGTTTATTAGGTACTTATTTATAAAATTAAATTTTGACGTAATTTCCTTATTATCCATGATGATTGTTTCCTTTCGAAGTATAGGTACTTTAATAGGTTTGATTTCTGCTATTATGGCTTTACGACTGGTAGACACACATAAAGTAGCCATTATTCAGTCAAATATTAAATTTTTTATTTAATTTCGATCAAATCTAAAACTATGACAGAGTAATGTTATGAGTCATTAGTCATTATATAAACACTGAATTTTATTTCCTGTAATAGAATAACAAGTTTTACATGTTTCTGGTACTATGTTGAAATTAATATATTAAAATTACTATAATGATTTTTATAAAACATACATAGTGGAATAAGTAAATATTTTAATTGACAAAATATTGTTTATTATAATATGCAAGTACAAATTGTATAGAATATAGTACTTACTGTGATAATTCAATACAGCATATAATAATTGTTCTTTAATTTACTATTAAAAAAAAAAAAAATAAATAGATACTTGTAAAAATAAACAAAACAAAACATCAAATAATCAAATGCCCTAAATATTTTAGACATGTCTAGTAATATTCATTTTTTGTTATAAAAAAAAATATACATACACATATATATATGTATATGTATAAAGCCCACCCTTGTTGCAAGTCTTCACTGGCAATCAATGACCCAAGACAATTATTAACAAAATACTGAAAAGCCACAATAAATTATAATTTTTAAAAGTTCAGTTTAATTAAGATATTATGCCTAATAGTTGGTATGTTTAATAATTAATCATCCTTCTTTGATTCGTTTCCGACAGTCTTCTGGAGTTTTTCGTATTCGCCCATAAGCCTGTCATACTCATTGCTGACCGATTCTGCTTGACTTTTGATCGCATCTCGGTCGGCTTTTATCGCATCACGTTCTGCCTTGAATGCCTCCAGTTCCTTTTGAAGTTCTTTCAATGCTTCAGACTCTTCTTCAGCTTCATCTTTCTTTGCTAAAAATGATCTGGCAACTTTGTTGGCGCTCTGGGCTTGTTTCAGAGACGCTTCGCTTTGGGCGACCAAAGACGCTTGCAGGGTCATCAGGGATATAAAACGTTTAATAACAAAGCTAAGGAACAGAGCTATACCACTGATGTAGAAGTTGCGCTGAGCGCGGAAAAGACGCATGTTAGATTGCATTTCGTGGTCTAGATGTTGGTGCGCGTCGTTTAGTTCGGGGTTGGAGTATTTGCGCATTTCACGTATCGAGTCCAACAGAAACAGGACGAGAATGCACAGCAGAAACGTGAAATACCACTGGGCCTGCGCACTGAGTGCCTGATAGAATCGGGAACGGAAAAGGCTGCTCCAACGTTTGGCCGACATATACGGCACCAGGAACAGTATCAAGACACCCACTTCGAAGTACAAAAAAGTCGCGATAATCGTCCATTGGAGACTCATGGTGGCGGCGAAGTTTAATTCTCACCCGAACAGGAACAGTATTATATTGTACAATATGTTTCGGCCGAAAAAATTACAAAACAAAAAACGTCGGTGCGAGCGTCGAAACACGGAACACGATGGTAAAATGGTGGTCACTGTTCGTACGGAGTAAATAACATGAGTCACGACTAATTAGGAAACGAACAAAATGAAACCGTAAACACAACACGGATCTGTATTCCGCAGACGAATGACTCTCCTACTAAAAAATTTCTTATCGGTCGCATCGACGTGTTATCTACGAACGTAATAATAACAATTATACACGTCGCGCTGCGCACTTCGACGTCTCGACCAATGGGCTGTTCACGAATCGCGCATCGGCAAGAGAAATAGAGGCTCGCTCCTTTACCTACGCCGGTTGTTCCCAATGTCACAATTCGCGAGTGGCGCCGAACGCCGTCGGTTTACCGCGTCCGTAATGCGCGTTCAAACATCAAAGTGCATCGGCCAACATTGCCCGCGGGCGCGACCGCATGACTAATGATTTGTTCGCGTATTCGTGTGCACTTACGTCATAAGCGTTTGGGCCGACCGTCGGTTAGTCGAGCAGCCGGTCTATTTTAAAACCGACCGCGCGTGCAGCCGGTACAGCGACATTATGCGTATACCGGGGGATTGCGATGGTATTTCGTTAACAATAACGGTCGAGTGCGAATGTCTATCGTTCAGATTGAGTTGTTTTTTTTTTCGTTTTCGTCATTAATATAATGTTTGACGATACACGCCTAACGTCATGTTTACAATCTACGAATACCTAGGGTATACCGATTGAGTCTGATGTCTGGCGAATTTCGGAAATAACGTTAATCGTTAACGAGACAGTCGTAGGGAGGCGGCCCCCAGCGACCGGAATATTAATTTTCTAATTTTTAAAAACGTAATAAACACAACGAAGTAGGCATCAGCAATCGGCCTGAATGTAACGACGAGTGAAAGCTCATCAAAACCGGTGTTTATATTCAGTATGGTGGTACCATTCAAACCCAGGGCCACAAAGTCGAATGTACCCATTTACTTTAATCCGTATTATTCGACCTTTTTTTTATTTTCAATAGGTATTCACCCCATTTACTTACACCTAATAGCCAATAGGTACCGAACGTAAAAACATCGTCTACCGTACCAACTGGAAGCATAGTAGGCAACAATCGAGTAGAGCGGGAATGAGTAAGACGTGAATAAAAGACCAGAATTGTCGGGCACCCGTAGCGGGAGTAAAGGGCTGCAGAACGGAGAGGATTATCGATCGAGCACGTACCACTACGCCGTGTTGGCAATATTTCCCGGTACAGTGAGGCCAGAGGAAAAAAAAACAACAAATAAATACGGAAATACGAAAACGCGTGCAGTAGATAGTGTCACGGGACGATGACGAAGTAACGGCGACGGACAGGGCCGTAGATAAAACTTCAAAAGCACAGCTGACGGCCCGCGGGGATACGGTCGGGCGCGGACAAAAATGAGCGGAAACGCGCGAGTTGGATTTGGACGGCCGCGTGGCAAATGCGATATCGGGCGTTTCGCCCATTGTCTAGGATATGCGAAGTTTCCCCGTTTTGCTCCGAACTGCGCGGCGCGCGTTTTTCGGCGGTAAGGCGCGCGAGCGTGCCGACGCGGTGTGGGCGTACTGCACCGCACATATTGCGCTATATTGATCCGACTTGCCGGTCGTAAACGCCGCGGGCAGACTGGAGTGCGACGGCGTTTCCCGCGCCGATTCGCAACGCGTCTCCGAAACGAATCGTCCCCCGGTAATGGCGCCGTATACCGCGGCACTTGTCGGCGGGCAGCGGGTGTGTCCTGCCTGTGCCCGCGGCGCCAGACGCTTGACCGTCGACACGCGATCGAATTAACGGCCGGACGACAGTACACGGACATCGGGCGTTCGACTGTGTAAATACGAGAAAAACAACAAAAAAAAAAAAAAAATGAAAAAACGAAAAAAACAAACCCAACAGCTTTTGAGCGTTTACGATTAATATTTGCCGGCGCGGGTCCAACCGATTGTTCGGACAACACGCGCGAGAGCGATGATAACGATGATTTATTACTGGGCACAGTTGGCGAGTTGGGTACCCGTGTCATTGTTATTATTGTATTACCGCGCGCTCGGACTGCGGGCGCCGTTGGCTTAGTCGATGACTCATTATCGATTAATGGGTTTACAGATCACGGCGTTGTAACCGGGATTACGACAAACGCGCGCAATAATTAATGGCGATATGATCCGAAGAATACACGAACACAAGTAATCATGGCTTAAGTATTTAAGCCGTTCAAGTAATAAAACAATTAATATTTTATATTAACCGAAATAGCGGGCGGGCGGTAGACCACGGGCTGGCGGTCATAGTGCGGTTGTTTGCGTGTGCGACGGTTAGCACAAAATCTAAATCGTCGGATGAATCGAATAACTGAAAAATGTCCGTTATTTTAATTTAATTATATTCGTTTCGATTTATTTCACATCAATCGTTTGTTACGCAACGATAAACCATCACGATATCTTATTTAATATTTTAAAAAGAAATCAGTTAGGGTAATAATTGGTTGATGTGAAATTTAAATAATTGCAATTTGCAATCGTTTCATACAGCATAAAGACGAACAATAATAAAACTTAATCGCATTAATGACGATGATAAAGCTTATTAACTACACAGTTGACCACAGTAACCATTGTGGTATAAAGAGCATATAATACGTATATATATATGGGACTATAAAAGTTATAAAACTTATAAGTTATCTTATAGTTCTGATGTTAAGATCTTAATTTGTGATATGGGGTATATTCATAGACCACGATGTAGAGATCTTCTCTAAATCGTAACATAGATGTAAATATTAATTTATATGTCTACGGATAAATTTTGTTCGCTACGACCACGGTATCATTGAAAGCACGGTATATTTAAGACCGCGGTTGAAACTTGAAAGCATAATTTCGATCATGGTTGAAAATATGGGCATGGCCTATCCCAAGGTGGACTAATTCACCTCGGCCTATCCGTTTTTTTATTATCTATGGGTACTTGCACACTAACTTTTTAAAACCAACAAACCATGATTAATCTTGGAACAAACCCAATGACAGGTAAGTTGTATTTTGGTAGTATTTACGGTACATTAATAATATTAATATTCTATTGAAATAAATTTAAACATGATTGTTATTTGTATTAATATATAACTGGGAAAAATGGTTTATAACGAAATAATAATCCTTGCTAATTTATTTTTTATTAACCAAAATAAAGTATTTATCATGGTTTAAAATAACTAACCCTAACCGTGGTATATCAGATATCTTATTTATTATCTAATATTATTAAATAGATAAGATATTATTTTATTATCACCCTAGATTAAAAACTTACAGCAATAAAATGTTTTAAAGAATTTAAAATTCTTACAAACACCATGTTAAGAACTTTTGGAAAAATCAATGTGTGAGTCTCTACACAAGAAATTACAAATTAAGTTAGTTAATTTACATCTATAATATGTTTTCAGGTTTAGTAATCTGGTGCGTTGTTCTCCATTGCGAGTATGTTGTTATGAAGTATTTAAGGCTAATGTACATACATCAACCATGTTAAGAAAAAAGAGACGATCAAAAGATGAAAAGGTAAATTACAATATTAATTAGTTGCTTTATATTTTATAATTTACATAATTACCTTTTTTCTAAACATTTTTGAAACGGTAGGGTGAAATATGAAATTGACTTTAAAATTTAAACACAATTCTTTATACTATTTTATTATGTAGAACAAAAAAAGTTTAAAATAGGTTTTTTGTTTGATTTCTAATGTATTTTAACTTTCAATATTTTTAGATCAACAATATCAAACCTGAAATTGATCTAAATTTAAAAAAAAAAAAAACTATTGATGTTTGGAAAAGTATGACCGTTTCAGAATTGGCAAATGCTACTAAAATACCAGTAGGTAAACTATGCATTAACTGAAAATATTTTTAATTATTCTAAACAATTTAAGAGTTCTGTATTATCATAAGTTTATTTTGTGTGCAAGCAGTGCTGTATATTTTATTGAGAGGTAACTAAGGAGACTTATTTGCTCATTTGATCTTTTTTTTTAGTATCTATTATTTATGACTACCTATTTTTAAAATTAATTTTGAATATGTTAGTATTCATAATTAATACATAAAGAAAACCTGACCATTATATTATGAAATAGTTTAAATTAGTACCTACTAACAGTAAATAAATTAATAGTTATTATTTACTTAGGTAGAATGGGTACCTACCTAGTTATTTGATTTCAATGATTATCAGTGGCGCCAAATCTGTATATTAGGTTTGGCAACTACCACACCTAATTTAACGGGTGGGTATATCTTCTAGCATTAGTAGTTTAGTATAAAACATTGTACAATTAATATAAGGAGCATTATAAATAACGCAAATCAGTCCATTCCTAAACTGCTGTAGCATGCACTGAGTAATTGCATTAGTAAAAGCAGACAAATATATAACTATAACCATTAGTTTAACGATAAATAACCAATAGTACCTAATCAGTTTTTAAATCTACAAAAGCGGTTACAGTTAGGCTGCACGTAGGTTATATACAGTGAAAACATGTACACGGTAGTATTGTTATTATTTAACTACTTTTGGTTATAATATAGTAAAACCAATAGATCCCTCGCTGTGCTCATTATATAAAATATACATCATTGTAAAACCAATACATTCCTGTCTATGTCAAATGTCAATAACAGTTTCTAATGATCATATAAGTCATTTTTATGCTCATTACAAATTAAAGTACCTATTTATACATTAAAATATTAAATGTTGCAAAAATGTAAACATTATTCATTAAATAATATTTTATAGTTAAAGATATTGGTAATTGGTGTAAGAGGCATATCCCCTCACATCAATTTAGGTTTGATACTGTGTAGAGGTAGGTGGGTATAAATTAATGTTTATTGCCGCACATACAAAAAATTAGTTCGGCACCATTGATCATTATATTAGGAGAGATTGCATATCATAAATAACTTACAAAAAAAATATAAATTATTAATACATTGTTTAGTTTGGGTACACATAATACAGTATGAAACTATGTATTTCTAAATTCAATGTTTCTCATCTGAAAAATCCCATTTTTAATATGCTATTGTATACAACAGTGGTTTTCAACCTTTTTGGGTTCACGGCTCTTCTGATTTTGAAAACCAAATTACTGGCTCCTTTACAAATAATAATATAAATAATATAAATTAAAATAAATAAATTCATTCTACTATATTTACTACAGAGGAGGCTCCCTTGATAATAAACCACAACACTCTTAGGAGCTGCGATGCACAAGTTGAAAACCACTGGTACTAGTATACACAATTATTGGTTTTATACAATTTTAATCTCTGTTTAAATTTATTTTAAATACTACTCCATCTATTTATGGAATTTTTAATATAGTTTGTCTTTTGAAAATCAAAAGTCGGTAGTCGTTTCACCCCCAAAAATTAGGATGAAAAAAATAATGTGAATGTTAAATTTTAGTACAGCTTGTTTCTTAAATGTTCTTTAAATCAAATTTCGAAATTAAGTTAATACTTTCCGAGATAATGAGTGTCTTATGATAAATTGATCACCCTGTATGTATCTAAATAAATAAATGTGGAATATCTATACAATTTTATTACAGATAATGTTATTCAAATAATTGAATATGTTATAAGTCCAAGTTTGAATGATATTGATCCTAATGTTGCCATAGAAAATGTTCCGTTACTTCGTGAAATTGTTAAAAAATGTGGATTTAAGTGTAATTTAACATCAAATCCTAGTAAAAGTAAAAAATCATCAGATAATCATTTAAAAGATGCTGTTAAAAGGTAAAATAAATTTCAATAAAATTTAGAGTATGTTAAAAATGTTAATGATTTCATAAAAAAAAAATTTCTTTGTATTTTGCCATTATTCTAATCATTTGGAATTTACTATAAATTATTTAATATTTTGTATAGCAAATTTAATTGAATTATGTAAATTTTACTGTATAACTTTTAGACCCCCTGCCCCATATAATTCTACCGTTATGAGACATCCTGTTGTTACAATAATGGGTCATGTAGATCATGGGAAAACTACTTTATTAGATACTTTAAGAAATGCATCAGTTGCTAAATCTGAATTTGGAGCTATTACACAACACATTGGTGCTTTTCCAGGTAATGATAATTTTATTCACAATAAAATATTTGAATTTACTAATCTTTATTTTTTCAATGTCAGTTGTTTTGGAGAATGGAAAAAAAATAACATTTTTTGATACACCTGGACATGCAGCCTTTGCTACAATTAGAAGTCGAGGTGCACAAGTTACAGATATTGTTGTATTAGTAGTAGCAGCTGATGATGGAGTGAAGGATCAAACTATTGAGTCAATACGAATGGCTAAACATGCCAAAGGTATATAATATAATAATATACAAATAAATTAAGTGTAACAATTTCGGTTAATTCAAGTACATGTTATAAATTATAAATTCTTTTAGTTCCCATCATCGTAGCTATCAACAAAATAGACAAACCTACTGCTAACATTGTATGCATTTATTAATAATAATAAAAACTTGAGGATTATTTTGTAAAATGTGTATATTTTTTTTTCAAGGAGCGTTGTAAAAAAATGTTGCAAACTCAAGGTGGTTTGGATCTTGAAGAATTTGGTGGTAGTGTGCAAGTAGTTCAAATATCTGCCTTGCACGGTACCAATTTTGATGATTTAATTGAATCAATTTTAACACAAGCTGAAATATTAGATCTGAGAGCTGATCCTAATCCTCCAGCAGAAGGTGTAATAATAGAATCAAGAGTTGATGATCAAAAAGGGTGAGACCATAAAATATAATTTTTTTTTTTTTAAAATCTATATTTGAATATAACTTAAGATTACATATTATACAGTGTGTAGGATATTTATATCATTCTAACACAAAACAGATTTTTTTAATGTTTGTTAATTTCTCTGAGGGGGGGAGGGAACATATACATTGGGAAAATGATTTGAAGAAATGATAAACTGCTGTAAAGTAAAATGTAAGAAAGTAATAACAGGAACAATACGAGAAAATCCTTAAATTTTTATAAAAAAAATTTACTTAGATGTCCTTGTGTTAGGTTATTTTTAATTGATTTTATATAAATGTTCTATACAGGATGTATTTATCTTGATAATGTCAATTTTTTTTTAATGCAAATTATAATTAATAAATTGTATAATGATATAACATGAACAATTAAATTAAAAATGAATATAACTTTTAAGGAAATTATTTTGTTTTATTAAAAAAATTATTAGTTATTAATTTTTAGATTCTAAGTGGAGCGAGAAATGTATTGGTTGTACAATGATATATTTTTTTTTTCTGTGAACAAATTCTACCAGAAATTTTAAGAAATTTTGTTTCAATTTTCAAGTGTAGCACTTTTTCTGAAAGGAAATTTGATTGGGGAGATCATTTTTTGAATTCCTCATGGGTTTTCATAACTGGAAAAAAACAGAAAAATGTGTAAAATATATTATTTTCAAATTGTAAATATTACGGCCTTTCAAAACATGTATAACCAAATTTTGCTCAGAATTGTCTTTTATTAACAAAGATTAATCGTTGCGTACAGATATACATTATATTTCCCTCTTTGTCCTACCTTCACAACTACTCACCTACTACAATGGCTCACACATTGTGTAAAGTATTACCATATATTTTTATCTATAATAAGCATTCATGTATTTATTTTTTTTTAGAAAATTAGCAACAGTTCTTGTCCAACGTGGAAAATTATTAAATAATAGTATACTTGTTGCTGGTACTGCATGGGGAAAAGTACGAATAATGATGGATAATCAAAATAATGTACTTAAGGAAGCCAATCCATCTGATGCAATTCAAATACTAGGATGGAAAGATTTACCACAAGCTGGACAAGAATTCTTACAAGTTTCTTCTGATGTAATTATTTTTAAATATAATTATATTATTTTTTTTTATTCATTAATTTAGTTGTAATAATATTAGTTTTGAAAATTGTTACTATAGAAATGTGCACGGGATGTAGTCAATTATCGTTTATCTAAGATTATTGAAGAAAAACAAATTGAAGATAGTGTTTATATATCCTCAAAACTTGAAGAGCATAATAAGGTAAAGGAAATCACTATAAAGGACTACATAAATATTATTTTCTACAAATTTTTGTTTTATCTGTTTATTTATTTTAGTCTGAACTAAAAAAAATGGATTATATGAATTTAAAAATATTAATGTACCATTAAATCATTTCTTCACAGAATATCATACTTTATTATTTATGTTAAACTAGCTTGAATAAGTCATATTTTTAATATAGTGAACATTCTATTCACAGACATTTCCCAAAAATGGACAATGTTTAAAAATTCTCTATTTAAAGATTAACTGTATGTGTGACTAATCTAACAGACATTTTAAATTTTATTCTGTGGTCCAGGATTAAAAGTTAACACTGTATAGCGTGTATATAATTTTTAATATAATGTGTAAATACTCTAAATCTTAAAACAATGGTACAATTACAAATAAAAATACACATCCATACTTCATATGATGGGTGGGCCATTTTTGTAGGTTAGAAATTGTGAAGGTAGGATATAGAAGAGAATTTAATTTATATCCGTAAGCAACGACTAATTGTTAATGAAAAATAATTCTGACTGGTGCCCGGTCAATAATATTACTTTTTCAGCAATGTGTGATTTGAATAATTAATGATTTGAAGATTAAAATAATAAAAACTTAATAATTACAAAAAAATAAATAAAAATGGTTGCCTTATTATAAATCTTTTAATCTTTTAATCATTTTTAACATAAAGAATCAGTTTTTGCTCATTATCTCGAATATAAACAAGAATTTCAAAAATATGAAGTACCAGTTAGAGCCACAATTCAACAAAAAAGATCTCTTTTCATGTTTTGATTGGAGCTAAATTTTTAAGAGAAAAATTATTTACTGATATAAAATACATATAGCAAAAACAATAGATCCCTCGCTTCACTCAGAGTCTAAAAGTAAAACATTTTTTTTTTAATATTCTTTAAAGTTGCGTTTATATTTTTTAAATCAAGTAATTGCATGATGTGTAAGTATGTATGGAGAATGGATCTTACATTGCAGAGATATTTTAAATGAACATTATATTATTAAATAATGAATACATAACCAAAAAAATAACTACACCTATTATAATAGATTTCTTCATACATAGATTTACATGTTTTAAAATGTATTTTGTTTTAGGAGTATAAGGTACATTTGGAGGACAAAAGAAAAGGTAGAAGGTTTAGAAGAAGTAAATTTAGTCAAATTTTTCAAGAAAAACAATTAGAAAATAAAAAAAAAAATTTAGTTCAAGAAATTTGTTTAAATGTTGTCATTAAAGGTAATTATGAAATTAATCTCGTAATATTTTTCATCTTGGGTATTTTTGAGTAATGTTAAATTAAAAAGTTTTAAATGTTAAAAAATCTATGATTTAAATAATTTAAATTACTATCTGTATCAACTTACCTATTAGTTAAGTTTTTGCTTGGAACTGTTTAATCATGTATTTTATCACAATTCTCCCCCCCTCCAAAAAAAAAAAAAATAATAAAACTTGTAAAATTAATAGATTCCTTGGTGTTTGCACCATTCAACATCTTACATAAATCAATCATAGAAATTAATTTTTAAATTTATCTAATATACATTTGAAATTTAGGTGATGTTATTGGATCTATTGAGGCCATCTTAGATGTATTGGATACTTATGACAGTAATTTATGCAAATTAGATATTGTTCATTATGGTATAGGAAATGTCAGTTTGTCTGATATTGAGTATGCTGATGCGTTCAAAGGTAAATTAAGCTATTCCAATTATATAGTATACATTTTATGTATGTATGTATGTATGTATGTATATATATTATATATACAAAAAAAAAGTTTTATCAAATAAAAATGTAAATTTTATTAATAGTATAATACAGTAGACATTTTAAGTATCAGTAATTTGAATTTAATTGTTTAAAAAGATTATTAATATTATTTTGTATTTGATATTGTATACAATGTACTAAAAGACCAAATTGTGTTACTTACTAGTTACTACATATTATACAACTTTTTACTGGCTGTTTTAATATATTTATAAAAGTGTTTTATTATTGTATAGTATTTGTATGGATTTAAAACATTCATATTGTGCTATTTTATTTATGTTTTAGCTATAGTTTATGCTTTTAATGTTGGTACATTGAAAGATGCAGAAGAAAATGCTAAACAACAAAGTATTACTATTAAAGAACATAATGTTATCTACAAATTGATAGACGACATAAAAGAAGAAATGAACAATTGTCTACCTCCAATTGAGGTTGAGGACATACAAGGTATTTATTAAACTATTACTTAGTTATGGGTACATTTTTTTAAATATTAATTTATCATTATATTTTTTGTATTTCAAAGGGGAAGCCAGTGTATTACAAGAATTTTTAATAAACGAAAATAAAAAACAAATTCCAGTTGCTGGTTGTAGGTGCATCAGTGGTACATTGAAAAAAGCTGCACTTTTTAAAGTAGTCCGAGAAGATGATGAAGTTATTTATAAGGGTATGCAATATTAATAAATTAATATTAATAATATATTTAATAATTTATTTATAAAAAAGGAAAATTGTCATCTATGAGACATCTAAAAGATGAAGTGTCCACTATCAAGACAAATATGGAATGTGGGTTACGATTAGAAGATACAAGTATCAGACTGCAACCTGGAGATAAAATAGTGTGTTACACATTGCGAGAAAAACAACAAGAAATTGACTGGGAAACTGGTTTCTAAATGCTTATTTTGTAAAATTAACTTATTTGTATTTTATTTTATATAGTCTTATGATTCTAGCTAGATATTCAATAAATTATACATATATTTAGTTAATTACATGTAATAATTTATTTGTTTTACAATTTTATTTAAATTTCATTTCCATTTAATAGAAAAATTATTTTATTAAATACTGTAGTTCAACTTGTAATTCAAATTTACCCATGTAAAAAATGTTTAATTTTGTGTTTTAATATTTTTAGAATGATTAACCATCTTATGATAATGAATCATAAGTAAATTTAGATTGAAGTCTCAGATTTACAGTAGAAACTTATCTATACATTGAAATATGCTCGATAAGTGGAAAATAAGTTTTTAGTACCCATTTTTAAAAGCAAGAAGTTTACAAGAATGTGGAAACTATGGAGGAATGCAAATTATGTAGATTTGGGAACAAATTAAACAAAAAAGAACTAAAAGTTGATAAATCAATATATAAAAACCAGGTTCGTTTTATGCTGAGAAAATTGATGATGAAGTCGGCGTTTTGTGTGATAGATTGTTAAAAAGTTCAAGGAGAAGAAGAAAAACCTATGTTGACTTATTAATTTAAAAAAGGTAGATGACAGTTTGCCGAGAGAGGTTCTGATGTATTAATTAGAAAAGAAGTTCTGAAAATTGTATATTAGTTTGATAGACGATATTATAATATATGAAGGTTCAAATAAGGATTATAAATTTATGCATGGAAGATTTTGGGCTTAGAGTAGGTGTGCAACAGGGTTTGTATTTGAGCCCTTACCTATTTTCTATTATATTATGGATAACATAAGAAATACAAGACGAGGTACCTACCTATCATGGCATATGATCTTTGTAAATGATTTAGTTTTGACAGGATAAGATCTGGAAGAAGTTAACAATATATTTAGAAATGATGAATAACATTTAAAATAAAGGATCTAAGGATAAGTGACACAGAATATATAATAATGAAGCATAACGATATATTTTCAATTATCAATATCGGTTCATTTGTATAGCAATACTGAAAAACGATATATCAATATAATTTATAAAACTAAAAACAATACTGAATGTAATAATAAATATAAAATGTATTGATAGTTTTTTTTTCATATTTCTTACATTAAAAAAAGTTTCATATTAAATTATTAAAAACGAAAAAAATGAAATATTGAATTTCAATTACAGGTACATTATTTATTTTTCATCTACCAATCTTGAATCTATCATAGATACCTTTGAGTTTTTTATAATTGCTTCCTGAAAATATGCATAAATTAATAAGAATTTAGCTAAAATATATTATTATTAATAGTTTTTTTATACCATTATGTTATCTGGTTATCTGGTTTTTCATTTAAGTATGAACTCAAAAAAGTTGTTAATTGACTCTGTCTGATGATAACCGATTTCTTCGTTTGGTAACATCTTAACCAGCTTAACTAAACAAACGTTCACAAGGAACACTTGTTGCTATTACACTTAAATATTTGTTTGCCATCTGTGAAACTATAGGACATTTTTCTCATTGTATATCCATCATAATAATGGATCTTGATTATGACCTATTTTATCTGTCATACTTTTATAAATATAGAAGTATGTAGTTAATTTCCTTCGTTTTCTTTTTTTTCTTCACTGTCGGCTATAAGAGATTGTATTCTTTTGTAGGTGTTTCAATTGGTTCTTCTTCATCTGAATTTATTTCTGTTATTGGAATCACTTCGTATTCTTTAAATTCATTTTCTAACTGTTCCCTGTTGAAGTTTTTTGGTCATCCGATGAAAATTGAAATTCGTACTATATTATCTAGGATTAAGAGCTGAACAATTTTGAACCCAGGTATATCTCAGGATGATGGGAGAATTTTTTTTGCCCTCCCTGTTAAATATAGGTAAATTAATAATTAAACAAATTTTACTGGTCTTAGTAAGAGGGTAGATAAGCACAAAAAAAAGTTCATAACTATAATTTTATTAATGCCCCTCCTAGAAAAATTGTCTGAATTCAACACTGGACCTGAAGCTTTTGATATGCTAATGCACATCTGATTTTTTCTTCAAATCGTTTGAGATTGTAAATTGTCTTTTTCTTGCATGCAATTTCAAAGACTTTGTTAACTGATTGACAATTGACTCAATTACAAATTTTTTTTCACCTCCCAATGTTTCAGTAGGTAATTGATTGAAACGGTTCTAACACGTTTACATTCATCAGACATGATAATTATAAACCATGTATCCATTTTTCTATTTTTGAATATTACGTTATTAATTGAAACTCGGTGTCGTAAAATACATTTATTAATCATTATACTCGCAGAATTCCACCTAGCTACACAGTTTTGGATTAGTTTATTTTTACTTTCGATACATTTTTCTCGTTTCTTATCTAATTCATGCTGTGCTGACGAACTTCGATTAAAATGACTAACGATTGCTCTTATCTTGTTTGTTAATGTTTATAATATTTGCAAATATTATGTACTATATAATATGAGTTGGAGAAATAGGATAAGAGGTTAACAGGACAAGACGAGTAATGACAGTAAGCAGTGACATAGGTATCTAATAGACGAGGTTGAGAGTTGTAATTAAGTACCCACCCACCTATTTAAAATATTTTGCAATTTATTTGGTAGTTACATATTGACGATTTAAACCAAAGTAAATCCATTAATAATTAAGTACAATTTTTATGTAAACACTAATACAGTATCGGTTTTTCTATTAGGTAATAACTTATTATTGCTAAAAATTAAAAAGTAATAATTTATGAACACCTACCTTATCTCTTTATGGTTTGTTTTAAATATTTTATTATGAAATCAGAAAAATTAATACGGCAACAAAATTATTCATGTTTTATTGACAACTGAATCAACAACATACGACAAACATGACTATGTAACGTGAAAACACATAAAAAATATACAGTTTTATTACGAAGCAAACATGTATTTCACTCGTCTACTTGGTAAGTCATCATAATTTATAACGTACAGCAATTGTTTATCGAATGTTTGTTTCCAATATCAATTTATCATGTATAAAATAAAACATTACATTGCACGTTATTTGTAATTATTTATTGTAATAATCTAACTGTTAGCCAATAATCTGTGGATTTAATAAAAAAAAAAAAAAAAAAAACTGATACTACTGACGGGTGTGTCACTGTTGTAAATGGGAAATCGGGAAGGTAATAAGGTACCTATAGTATTCTGATTAAAATTCGGTTAAACGTGTTTTGAAATGCTGCCATCTATCTAACGATGATTAGACGATAAAGTGCATATTAATTTGTGCTTTTTACGGAACGTAATAAACGGTAATATTGATTCCCCTCTATTACTCTCCGGGATTAATTTTTGTGTTCCATCATATGCAATACGATCTATGGCTCCTTTTTATGTTCTTAATTACAGCACTACCTATACGTGATCTAGTACTCTAAACAGGCTAATGACTCTTGGCAATAAGAATTCTTTCTATCTTTAGTTTTTTAATTTTTGTATTTTTATGTTCCACTAGTTTGTGTAATTCTTTCCGTGGTTAATTTTATTTGTTTTGTATCTTTATTTTTATTGTACCTATATTTTTAATTTTCTGTCGTACAACTACACTTGGGTCTATCCCGTTATAAATAATGCACTCACTATCTCAAAAAGTATTGACTTTTTTCGGAATTTGTTTTTTAAAACATGCAAGTTTGTCGTTTTGGGAAAGTAGTGGAGCACTACTACACACTGCGTCGCCACACAAATGATGCTCCACTAATTTCCTCTTACCCAAATTTATAAGTATAATATCTTGTTAATGGACTCATGGAAATTAAAAATTTTAACTTACAAATTTGTTTAAATTAAAACTTTATGAAATTTATTTATATAAGTAATTATTTGCATAAGTATTTTTAAAAAAGTCAGTAGGCACTTGTGATCACTTTGTATATATTATGTTATATTCACAAAAGTGATTTTCATTGACTTATAAGTGTTCAGTATTTTGTGTATAAATTTACTAGCACACGCAATTATTAGTTTTAAATTATTATATTATTATATATTTTATAAATTTTGGAACCTGAGCAGCCCTCAGACATAAACACGACTGGTGGGGGGGGGTCGGCTGTGTTTGTAAAATTACTGGTATACAAATACAATACTGTTAACAAATACAAAGAAAAGAGCTTGGATATAATTGTTGTCTGGTATGCTACTGCATATTGTAGGTGGGAAATTGAGAAGACAAACTTTTATTTGAGATAAATATTACGAACAGGAAAAATTTAACTATCTATTTAAGGAAGCATATCGCGCACGAGAAATAGAATAAGACGAATTAGAATAGTTTAATAATTAAACACACATCTTATCTAGAGATTTTATTTTTTAAAAATTCTGAAAGTCTAGTTAAATCTTCTGTTTGATCTTTTCAATCATAACCCATTCAAACTTTGGATGGTTTTGATCATATAGATTCAATACCTTTGGTATAATTCATAGAACGCGCTTGTAAATAATATAAATTATACGTTCTAGGGCAGGTAACATGTTTACATTTAATTATAACTCAGAACTTAATAGTTAAAATGCAAAAAAACATTATTATACAACTACAATAGTGTTTTATAGTGTACATACGTATTGAAAATTCTGCCCAAGTTCAATTTTTGAATGTAATGATTTATAATTGTTTTCATATTTTAAACGATGAATACAATTACTAACCTCGCATTACGGAGTATGCGAATGTATAATAGTATTCAGCACTCGTGTTGTAAATTATAATAATAAAGCTCCTCTCGGTTTCCTGACCGGGGTTTTTGTTTTCAATTTAACAACTACGCAAATCTAATAAATACCGTCTTCAGTCGTCAATATTTAATTTATTTAACGGATGTAAAAATTATAATATACAAGTTTCTAGAGTACCTATGTAATAATATTATGGTCTAAGTCTTATCGAAGTCATTAGTTTATCGCTAACAAAATCGTATATAACACTGTTACGATACAGTTTTTTCCACAGTGATTCTACAGTTCTCATAATATTTGTTTCAATAGTGTTTTGTTACGGATCAAAGTTCAAACGTAAAAACATGACTCGTCTTTTCGGTAATTATATTTTTTAAAATTGTTTACCTATTATGCTTTGTTTAATATAATTATTATAATACCTACAAATATACCAACGTAGCTAACCTGTCTTGAGTACATAAGTATACCTAGTGATGTAAATTTTCATGAAAATTTTATAATTTTTCATATTAATTTCTTATCGAATAAATCTCTTGATTATAATATAGTTAATATCTAGTTATATCTAGTATATTTAATCTTCATAATTATATTTAAAATTATGTACTTATATTACCATTTATACATTTATTAATATTATTTTGGTATTATTCTACTGAACATAGTATAAGAAATCCAAAATACAAATAAATTTATCTCGGTAATAATTGTGCATTTTCATTTATTGTTAAAAATGTTGGTTATTAGCTATTACTAATTACACTGTATCTAATTTTAACACAAGACCACAAGTTATAACCATTATAAACTATAATTGATAATTATGTTTTATTTAACATGTAGGTACCTATATATCTTAATTTTTTAGTTTATATTTACAGACGTTTAATTCATATTTGAATTATAAACATTTACTATTATTACAAATTTGGAAAAAAAAAATAATAACAAGACTATACATTTTGGTTACATTAATTACACTTTTCCATTTGCAGTATAATTACAGGTATCTATAAAGTGTTTTCTAGTTAAATTCGGCTTCATAACGTGTGCAATGAAATAGACATTTTTTAAATTTTTTAGCCGTTGTGAATTGTAAATATTATCAATTGTCAAAACACTCATGTCTCTGAACGATAACAGTACCTATATATAATCATTGTTATTATATGTACTTTTTATCATTTATATTCTATTCAAGCATTGATAACCAATGGACACTAATATAAATAGTTGTGATGTAGCGTTACCAATCAAACAACCTCAACAATTAATTATGTTGGGAAAATTATATTAAAACTAAAATTTTCAAAGCAAGTTGAAAATTTCAATGAAAAAAAAAAATGTTCAAGCTTATATCTGTAGGTATTCCTAGCATGAAATCTATTTGGCTTATTATTTGGAAGTTTGATCAGTTCTTAGTCGAGTGATTGTATCCGCGATGAAAACTATTCGGTGTAGGTAGTAGACCGATATTCAATCTTTCGACTTTGTTTGTCAGTTGGCTTTTTATTACAATATGAACCCCTCTATGTATTCATAACTTTAATTTATTTACTAATACAAATTTAAAATTGGTAAAAAGTAAATAATAAATATCCACTTATTATAAACTGTTTGTAATATATAGTATGTATATATTATATATATATATATATATATATATATTACACAGATAATATGCCTCTATAAAATAACAAATCTAAGTTTACGTAGGTTTGAGATTTATTATTTATTAAAGTTTTACATATTACCACAATGACTGGCTTTGACAGAATTCATCATCGCGACATCAGATTAAGTGCCAATACCGTACATTAATTATATATATATATGATATTTTATAACGCTTTATTTTTAAAAAAAAAAACTTAAAAATTGCTGTAAAAAGACACTCGTTCAGTTGGTCGTTTTATTAATAATAGTTTAACTAATTTAATAATAATACTAAGTACATATTTTACATTTGTTTTACTATAGAGTTGTGTGCCATTATATTGTCATTGACGTCAGTATCGCTGACTTCGGATGATATTGTTTTATTTACAAATGATAAAGACTATAAGTTGCAAGCAGAATATGAAAGTAATTATATTTGAGAGTTACATTCAAAAGATTTCGTAATATTAAAATTTTGTAAAATTACAATATGTTTGTTTTTAATGAAACGAGTTTTTCAAAATTAATTTTAGAAATTATTGAGACATCAAAAACCCTTAAGCTACAATTCTACGAAGATTGTTTAAATGAAAATTGTACAAAAAAATTAGAAAGCAATCAAAACCACCTAAAGTACTTTTCGGAATCAGAAAAACAAGAATGTAAGAATTACGAGCAGGTAGCTCAATCCATGAATGACGTGTTAAAATTTTGTGTCGATATGAAGAACAGCTCCTGGTATGGGGGCGCTGAAACGACGTATCAGTATTGGCCATTGAATAAACTTAACTGGACGGAGACACCATATGTGACCAAAGAGTCAGACAGTGAAGCAGTGAGTGATAAATTGATGTTTTTTAATGTTAACCTTTTGAATATATAATTGTGTTATTTTCTTCACATTATTAATGAAAAAGTACAGAGTGACAATTATGTCTATGTATCTAATTTTAAAATGTGTTATTTATATTATAAAATAATATTTTGATACAGGCTCTTACTCGCACTACTGGGTTGTACTTTTAAAATAAGTCATCAATAACTACAGTATGAATATTTTAACATTGTTTAATATAAATTTGTTTGTATTATTTAGGTTTTGGAGTCATATTTTTTCAACTCTGACGGTTTCTATATACATATTGACGATTCGGTAGCTTTATTTGTGGACATAAATGGTCCGCGGCCGGGTTACATGTGTTTTACGGCAAAAGTCACTGGACCCTACAGGAAAACTAAAAATACTATGCAATTTCGTATATGCAAGTATAGTAATCCACGGGAAGCGCATGAAAATGCTATAAGAGATGTCTTCGGTATGCCATTATCTATTCCTGATCCTTACATGGTGAAGTATCCGATTTGGTCTACATGGGCTAGGTACAAGGTTAATGTTAGCACTTCCAAAGTTAAAAGTTATGCTCGTGAAATAGTAAAATACGGATTTCCGAGAGGTACCATTGAAATTGATGATAACTGGGAAACTTGTTATGGAAGTGTAGAGTTCAATACATTAAGATTTGAAAATATTAGAGAGCTTGTCAGCGACCTTAGTAAGTTAATATTTAAAATGGGCATTTTTATAATTATATCGACATCATCAACATTAAACTTAACGGTATAGATATAACATCATAAAAAATTTAAAATAGTACTTAACATCATAAAACCAACCTATAGGTACCATTGATTTTTATCACTCTTAGTTTTGGGGGTACAACCTATAATCGATCTTGATTTTAAAATAATCTATTTATGCAATTTTTTCTTGAAAAACCAAAAAGAAATTAAAACTTGAAAACCAAACGTGGGTAGTTTCAACCCCTCCCCCCAAAAAAGGTTGACAAAAAGTAACGGCTAAATAAAATTTTAGAGCGGATTGTTTTTTAAATTTACGAAAAATAAATTTAAAAAAAAGATATTGCTTTCAAAGATAACCAATGTCTTACGTTATGCTGATCACTCTGTATAATATAATTGATGTATTTAAGCTGTTATAATAACTAAATGACGACGATTAGAAAAACGTTTGTGTTTTAGCATATCTTATAGTATTCTATGGCATTTTAGGTCACAGGCATGTATGTAAAATTAAATAATACATTATTATTTAATAGCACTTGATGTGTTTTCGCGTTTATCTATTTATTTAGGTTATTAATCCTTGTTTATATATTCAATATTTACTCAAATTTAAAGTTAAACCCATACAAATCAAACGTCTTATAACACTAAAAAATGTCCTTAAATAATTCACTATAATATTATAGTTAATATCGATTTATAGTTACTTACATAACCACTCGGAAGTGTATTTACATGTTTACCGTCTAAATAAAAATTATTTGACAAGGACCACGAAACAAAAAATTCGGACAAAAAACTAACTAGGAACGAGTATTCGTTTCTTTATTAGACAATTTTCTATTGATTACACTTTTAGTAAAATATCTAGAGTAAATAAAGTCGTTAGTAGTATTTTGATTAATACCGTTTTTTGCTAGATCTGTCTGTTACATTACTTGGATTTACATTAATATTATAGTCGATCTACGTAACACAATTATCTTCAGGTTCAACTAATACTAGATTGATTTGTTATTATCATTAATGATTCAAAATATCATGTTGTTTATAATTCTTTAATTTTAAAATTTTTTTTTGTATTGATCACCATTTAACTGTTGTCTATTCATCAATACCAAAATTTAAAAAAAAAATGTATGCATGTACCTATAGTACCTATATATGTATAAATATGTTCCTGCAACCACTTGAGGTACGAAAATTGTATACAAGCTCTGGCGTATTTCATTAATTCAGTCATATCGTTCTTATTGCTGATATTCTTAAATTATATATAACTGAAAATCTGACAAGTGACTGTAAATTATGTAAATAGCTAAATATTTAAAAAATATAGATATCTTCTTAATGTTTCATCCTCTATAGATTATAGTAGTGAAGAGATTTCTTTTTCTATAGTTTTTATTATGATAATATGTATAAAATAATAATAATTTACCTACGACCTACCTGGGTGTTTAAAATTTTAAAATTCTATTAATAGCAAATATTGTATTTTCTACAATATTATTTTGTTATAGAATCAATTGGTTTTAAAACTTCACTGTGGACACATCCCTTCATCAATTTGAACTGTTATAAACATGATATAGCTAATTCAAAAGGATATTTTGTGAATAGCACAAGAAACACAGTTAATTCAACGTGGTGGAATGGACAGGCCTCTTACATTGATTTCACAAATCCAGAAGCAGCAACCTGGTGGTCTAATGCACTGCACGAATTACTAGAAAAAACTGGAATTGATACATTGAAATTTGATGCTGGAGAGTCCAGTTGGTATGTTAACTATGCTCAATAATAGATAATAAAATGTACAGCGAGAAAGAGAATTTTAATTTTATTAAATATCTACTAGCGGATATCATTGTAAACATTTCGTACACAATTGAAAAACAAAAATGAATAATATTTCTTATTTAGAGTTTCTGAAAAATTTGAATTTGAAATATGTTAACCCCTGAGTGGAGTGAGAAATGTATTGGTTTTATATGTGTGCTTTTTTTTTTTATATATATAAATTATTTTTCTATCCGTGAAAAATTCTTTAATCTTGTATTTAATCTGGTATCAGTAATACATAATTTTTGCGATTTTCGTTTGAATTTCAAAATGTTTATTAAAAAAAAAAAAAACGTCCGATGATTTTTGAAATTTTAACACATCTAGGTAAGTCCAATATAAGTATTATTACCAAGTTTCAAGTCTCTACGTGTATTTATAACCGAAAAACAGCAAAAAACCCCTAAAAATTAAAATTCCTTAAAAGCTCAACATTTTTTGCGATGATAAAGTAAAATAAAAAGGCTACAAAATAGGTGTCTTATTGTGATTTTTCGATTAAATCATTTTTTATGGTAGAAAACGTCGTGCTTGTTTTTATAAAATAATGAAATCGTGAAATTGTAAGTTTTCCTACGTTTTTTTCCCACTTAAGTGCTTTTATTTAAAAAATATATATGTTTTACATTTTAGGTTTGAACGCTATATTATTGAAACTATAGGTTTTGTGTTCAATCAGTGGCGGCTATCTTGAAAAATATAACAGGTGCTTACTTAAGAAAAACTAGTACTCTCTACCAATATTTTGGGTAACCCAAAAAATTACCCATTTCATAAAAACCGTGTTTTAACGTACCAACATTTAAAGTTTATTTTGATGGGGTTTTTAATTCTTTTACAGTTGTAGGCTACATAAAAACTTTTTAGGTATTTTAATGTATTCACTTTATACCAGTGATGTAACCGGGGGGGGGATGTGGGTGATGTATCACCTCACAAAACCTTTTTTTTCTACTTTAAATATTAATATTGCCATGATATATATATACTATGGATATTAATATTATTTATTATTAATGACAAATACTTAAATCACCCCCAAAATAAGGTCCTAGTTACTCAACTGCTTCACACATACTAATATAATATAATTTATAGTCTATAAATTATGTACTAATTAACTACTGAATACTAAGTATGTGTGAATACATTTTATTCATCATTAGGGCTCGGATTTATATGTGTTTATAGTACAAAAATATGTATTTATACGACTAAAATATGTACATGAAAAATATTCTAAAACTATGCTTATTTGAATTTTTTAGTGAAATCATATCGTTCTGTAAATATTATTTTAAAAATTATTATTTACATATAAAAACTGATACAAATTAATTATTACTTAAAAATGAATTTATTATTAATCAATTTGATTACAAAAAAATAATAATATGCATTCTATGATATGCACAATATGCATGGTTTTCCACCCGTCGCAGTCCTAGGCCATGGTCATAATAGATTCTTTTAAAATCTAATATTCTATTAATCTATAACATTATAGTATTATGCATTTATGTCTATGTTTCAATTGTATTATTATTGTGTTAAAAATCAAGGGTCTTGTGAGTTGATACTGGTATCTGGATGTCCGAGACCTAATAGTTATAACCCACCTACTACAATCATGAAAGGGGTGCATGAACATCTTTACAGATACGTGATAGCATTCACTATGTTCAATTATTGTTTTATGGGATAAAATTCATTCAAAATAAGTACAAATTGATTAAATATGCATTTGTGTGCACAAAAAAGTCATTAAATATGTTATTCTTAAAAAAATTACTAAAATATAATATAACACGTGTTGTTTTGGGTCTTCTTACCATTTTTAGATTTTGAGCGGAGCGAGGAATGTATTGGTTTTACAATAATGTTTATTTTTTTTTTTCTGTAAATAACTTTTCTACCAGAAATCTTGCTCCGATTTTAAAGTGTACCTAGTACTTTTTCTGAAAGTAAATGTTATCTTGTTTGTACTTTAGAGAGGTCATTATTTAATTTTCTAAGCGGTTTTCATAATAATTGGGAAAAATCGGGAATAAACTTAGGAAAAACAGGAAAATGTATTATTTTCAATTTTGTTTTTTATTGTGATTTAGTTAAAAATATTCGTAGAGACTTGAAATTTGGACAGAAAAATAATATTTACCTTTCCTAAACGTGGTAAAATTTTTAAAATATTTATGAAATTTTTGAGCTATTTATAGACATTTATTAATTTTGCGAATTTATTACATAATTTTTATTTGGTAAGTATTATTCTATAGATGAAATTGTTGACTAAATAGAAATGCATTAAAATTTAATTGGAGAATCATTATAAATTGTACTTTGCGGTTTAAAAATAAAAAATAAAAACATTCGAGTGTAATGTAGACATTTTTTTATAAGAATATTAATATCAGATTTTGACGAAAATCGTAAATATTAAGACCTCATAAAGCATGTACAATCAAACTCTACTCAAAATTATTTTTAATTAGCAATCGTTGCGTACAGATACATATTATATTTTCCCTCTCCGTTTCCAACTTCTCACCTACAACAGTCATCCACCCATCGTGCGAAGTACGTTTTTTTTATTTATGTAAATTAAAATTAATCTTTTTTTTAGGAACCCCCAACTTCCAATTTTTTATGATAAAGATTTGACATACTACCCTGATAATATTGTTAACGCATATCTTAAAACTCTTATGTCTTTTGGCAATGGCATTGAGTATAGATCATCCAGAAGAAGTCATGAATATGGACGTTTCTTAAGAATGATAGATCGAGAGTCTCGATGGGATTTTCACTTAGGATTACCAACATTAATAACATCTCTTTTACATTTGAATATGATTGGTTATCCGTTTGTATTACCGGATATGATAGGGGGAAACGGATATAAAACATTGCCTTCTAAAGAAATGTATATTAGATGGATGCAGGCGAATACGTTCATGCCTGTTGTACAATTTTCGTATACACCGTGGGATTTCGATCAACAAGTAACTGTCCTTTTGAGTATATTTGACATTTGAAAACAATAATTATACAAGGGATAATATCGTGTTAATATTTAATAACGTAATTTTTAAATATTTTAGACAATCAATATATGCAAACGTTTTATGGATCTTCGTAATAACTATACTGACACTATAATACAATTGATGAGAAGTAGCGTAGTTAAAGGAAGCCCGGTAAATCCTCCAGTGTGGTGGATCGATCCTACCGATCCTGTGGCACAGATAATTGATGATGGTACGAATATATATATTTTTTTTACTACATTCAAATTATTTATGTATTTATAAATAATAATATCAAATGCGTGCATGCAATAATTATGTATGTACGAATTTAAAATGTAATATCCAAACACTATTTCAGTCTGCATTTTCCTAATGATCTTAGGCTGATATTTTATCATAAAAAAATTAAGTTCGGTTTAGCTTACAAATTGAATTTTATGAAAAGTACGAGTTCATCATTTTATTTTAAAATCGATATTAACTCGAATAATTCCATAAATGCCTATTTTTTGAAATATTGCTATGCATAGTCTCCCGTAAATGTTGTTTTTAACAAAATCTAATATTTTTCAAAAAATATTAAGCCATTTTTTTCTGTTACTAGAGTTTCTATTGGGAGAAGATATTCTTGTGGCCCCGGTAATTACCGAAAACGCTGTTTCCCGAGATATTTACTTGCCTACTGGCTTGTGGCGTGATGAAAACAATCCCGGTTCACCTCTCTTATCCGGTAGATCGTGGCTGAAGAATTACCCTGCAAATCTCGAAGTCCTTCCGTGGTTTACCAAAGTGAGCCCCATGCAGCAACCTTCAAACGGTTGTAATAACATTATTCAAGCTAAATATTTGTTACTAATGGTGATTGTATTATTATTACATAAAAATCATAATATTTTTGTTTAATAAAAGTGAATATTTTTCACATATTTTTACTTCATTCACAATTTAAGGATTGAAAAATACGTATGGTTTAAAGCCTCTTTTTTATTTAACTGGAGTTTCGTTATATGTCGTATTTAGTGGTCAAAAAAAAAAAAAAAAAAAATGAGTGTAATGCAGTATTTTATTTTTTTTTTATAAGAGTTTTAGAATCAAATTTTGTTGAAAATTGTAAATATTATCGCTTTTCAAAACATATATAACCGAACTTCGCTTCGAATCGTTTTTCGTCAACAATGGTTTATCGTTTATTATTAATATAAATTAAATAACCTTGTGTATCCTGCCTTCTCAGATTCTCACTTATGACAGTTGTATATTTGTCTCCAGTATCAGCTTTTTTTTTAAAAATTTTATTGTTAGTAAATAGATATTGAATTGGTCGAATAAAATCCAGTTTATAATACATATATATATATATATATATATATAGAACAATTATACACAAAACTATTTACAACAATTTTAAAGCATTATTAATCTTTTTTTTTCTCCTAAAAACCAATCTATGATGATTACTGTTTGGACATTCACATTGTTTTTTTGCCCTAGTTATATCATTATCACTAATTTTTGGTAACGCTGATAAAAATATCAAAGAAATAATAAATAACACGGTTATAAATACTATATTATTTTATTGTCCATAACCTGTAGCCGTGATTGAAAAATAACGGTCAAAAAATGCCAAATCCGCTCATCGTCCCTCCTCAAATACGCCACTGGGATAAGATGATGCACAGAGATAAATGTCATTAGGTTTTAATTTTTGTAAACGTCTTTGGTTATTGTTTTTAAAAATCATTACCTAAGTAATTTATTAATTCAGAATTTTTTTTCGAGCAAAATAATCAAGTGTAATAATACCCGAACAAATTAATGCATTATGATTATGAATCATAGTTAATATATTATGTTAATATACTGTGATCCTTATGTTCTTATACTCAAACAAGTTTATTTATGTTTTAGGTCAGGATTTATGTAGGTAGTGATGTATCATGACAAGTATTATATTATAGCTGCTATATCCCATACCTATATGAATTACATATATAGGTACATATATATTGATATATGTCATAGGTATTTTATTACATTTTTAGACATTTTAATTAGTTCATCCTGTAAACCCATTTTATTTTTTTCTTGTAAGATTAAATTTCGACCAGAAGACTTACTTTAAGAATAAAAATCTTAATTGTTTTGTATCATTTTGGCTTCCTGTTAATTCATTAGATGCGTAATGTTTTAAAATTCCATTAACTATATAGTTAAAACATAGTAGTACACAGTTGTTTAATTTTTTATTTTAAATATGTTTACGTAATTTCGTTTACGTGGCTGTATTAAACATATATATATGATTGGCTCTATCCGAATTGCGTGTCAAAAGAGAACGATGTTGGTCGACAACCGAGTTGCACGCGCGATTTTTTTATGACAGAGTTGAGTTGCATACGATTAGTTATGATTATAATCTTTAGATAACAAAACTATAAACAGTTTAACGATTTTATAACTTTTGATGATTAGTCAATAGTTAGACATTGAAGCGATTACGAACACCTACGACAGAAAAAAAACATGAATATCATATACCTACAGTGAAAAAAATAAAAATATACATTATTGACGGACATAAATTTCATTTCAATACATTTGTAAATAACAATATTGAGAGATGGGCATGCACAAAAAAATGTGTACATTTTATTTACTTAAAAATTCAATCACTTGATCTAAGTAAATATTTTAAAAATGTTTAATCGTAAAATCAAAAAATAAGAGTATTTGTATAGGAGAACATTTTTTACACAATATAAAATTAAAAAAAAAAAATTCGCTCACACAACTCGACTCAGTTTTTAAAAAATACGCACGCAGCTCAACCTATATTAAAATTTTTGCCATTCGGAAACACCGTTATTATTATATATTTTAAATTCAATATTAAGTTAAAATTTAAAGAATTTAATATTAACTTAATGTGAAATTATTCAAAATTAATTTTAAATTTATGTGAACAAAAATAAGTTTAGTTAATAAAAAAACAAATGTTAAAAGCTTAAAAGTTAAATATTAAAATTAACTTAACTTTTAACTTGTTAATATCCATTTTTGGATGCCACTATAATATTATGATGTATTAATTCTATTATTTTCGTATTCGTTTTCAAATAATAGATACAAAATATTAGCGAATGCAATAATGATAAAAAGTTAAAGTAGATATACCTTCTATGTAAACGGCAAGGTTTGTATCATAGCACTCATGGCAGTCAAGTGGTTATTTGTGTAATGTTTTTTTCATACTCAGGTGACTGCAGAGAAACACGATTTCGTAGGCATCCCTAATCTTGTTAATGAATAGATAATATTATTTATTATTATTGTTGTTTATAATAATATTATTCGTGTACCTATCGAATTAAATTAAAACAAATTAAAAATGATGAGACGACGCAGATTTTATTGTTCAATTAATTTAAATTATTCAAGTTGATTATTAACTATTTAAGTTTTCATTATTTATATAAATTGTGTAGGTATTATCAATTTGTATAGTATACTATAGTTACAGAAGGTATATAGGTATAGTAGGCAATTTAAAAATTTGTTGGTCTTGTATCTGGTTAAGGAAACGACTTTTTGGTGCATTAGTTTGTATAGCATCATTGACGTGATCGAATTTAAATTTTTTATTTAGAAAATAATATAGCGATATAATTTAATATTTTTTATTCGTTAGTTTTCATATTTTAAGAATAGAATTATTAATTTGAATATTTTACAAAATCTCTGTACGCTATACAATTCTACCAGATATAACGTACTCAAGGAAAACGAGTCAATATTTTCTTTGTTAGTTTTCTAATCTTTGGTTTCCTTTTATTAATCTTGGAAATACACTCCCTCCCCCTTCAATACCGCCCAAAGAGTGTGATTGTTAAGTTGTTAACACTTTTTCTCTGATAATTTGTATGTGTACGAATATATTGAAATACGGAACCGGACATTTGTGTAATCAATATAAATACAATAAATAATAGTAATAATAAAACAGTATTTCAATATAAATCATTTCAATTATTATTTCATAATTGGTTTTGATAGTCTAGGGCAGAGGTTCTCAACCAGGATGCCACACCACTCTAGGGGGCCACGAACTTAAATTTAGGATGCCGCGAAATTATTTGAAATGTATTTTTTTTTAAAAAACGACTTCTTGAAAAAATATAGCACTGTGAGTAATAAAACAGACTATATCACTAAACTCTATAGTATACAAATTATTGTTTATAATTAATTATATACAATATAGTTTAATATATTTATTGTGTAATACATATAGTTTGTACATAGTAATACTGCGATGTTCAATATATTTTAATTTTCATACTGGTTTGATTGCTATCAATTGCTATAGTTAATGTTCAATGTAATAATTTGTTTTATAAAAAATAATATCTGTATATACCAGATACCTACTGATTATTGCAAAATAGCCCTTTAAGAGGAATCACCTTTATGAATTTCTTTTGAAGCACCCGAAATTGTTAAATTCGATAAGTTTGTCAGAAAAATACGTACAATTTTTCTAATTGTTTAAAAAGTTAAAATAATTTTGAAATGCAACATTGTGTTGTTTAATGAATAATAAAAAAAAATATTCCTAAACATTTAAACATTTAGGTTAAATTACTCAAAAAGGGTAAAGTAATAAGGAAATAATTGGATTTTTACTCTCTACAGTTGTGTGAATGTATATGGATGATGTTTTTTTTGGCGGGAGGGTTTTTTGTTGGGGGGGGGAAGTAAAAACTGTGTTGTTATTTTATTTTATTAATATGGTCACCCTATGATAGTCCCACCAAAAAAGTAAATACCTATGTGTATAGGTAACAAAATATATATAAGAATCTTATAGGTAAATACTTACTATTTCTTTATAAATATTATTTATTTTTAAAATAAAAATATCAATAGGTAAAGTTATTACGTTTCTGACGTATCTGAAAAAATTTTAATTATTTCATTCATAGTTTGATTGATTGCACTGTTATCTATGTTTTTTTAACGTATAACTATTTTATCCACGAATGAAATGTTTCCCTTTGACATTGATATATGTAATACATATTTAATTCTATTATATTCTACTATGCATCACTTTGTTTATATGTTATTAAAAAATTACCATCATTTTATTTAAAAATATTCTACTTTGGCCAATATCTACTCGCATATTACTTTTACTTATTCACTGTTTCCATACTAGTATGCATTGCCAAGTTATAATACCTAATTTTTTTTTTTTTTATATTAGTTATCCAATTATTTTTCGAAGTAATTAAATTATTTTTAATACTTTTATTTTATAGTTACTGTAGGTACACACATATCTATAAAGACAAAATCACATAAACGTTCCATTGAGTGCAGAAACTTGTTTTTATATATTGGCTGTTTGATATCTTCAAGGAAAACCAGTAGGCTTTGGTTTATTCTGTTCCTGGATATCTCTTCTATTATAATCTGCGCTGGGGCTGTGAATCGCAGTAACTCGAATATAGTACGGCCAGGTTGATTGATTTGTTGCAGAAATCTGTTGTCGGTGTTCCTGCAGAGTCCTTTGGTTATTTTTATTAAACAGGTTAGTGTCAATTAATTTAAGTATAATAATATATTGGATTCAAATTTAGTTTCTGTGTAGTGCCGAAAATATGAATTCTTAAATTATTTTATTAATAATATATTTGATTACTTTTAAAATATTTTAACACTTAAAAGGTTTTAAAAATGAATTATTAAGTTAAGATTTTAGAAGACAATAATTAAAACAAATGTTTAGTTTTAGATTCTGAGTATAATGAAGAATCAATTATAGTTGTACAAAAAATTATCTTTTCGTAAAAAACATACGGTTAGTAAAAATGCTCGGATTTGTTATCATAATACAACTACCTTAAAATATATGAAATTTTCGCATCATAGTAATTTATTTGAAACATTTTTTCGAAATAATCTAATCATTGCTTTTAACGTTGTTATTTTTTTGTCCCTTTTTCGGTTAAGTCAAATATTTTTCACGCAGTACCTTAAATTGTGTGGAATTTCTGTTCGGTGGTACTTTATTTAAAACATTTATTATAATTATTGACAGTTCTAAGTCTTTTTTGTCGTTGTTTGATATTTGTTGATTTCTAGATTACCATGGCAACATGGTAAAGCATACTACTCCCTCAAAATAGTATTTTTGTTCCCAAACGATTTATCGTTGCATACATTATTTAAACTTAATCACCCTTTATATACTAATTATCCAACTATTCACTTCCAACTATACATCATTTATCTACTCTTGAGCAGCATCAACTTTTTTTTTTATAATTAGTGATGAAAATTGTTTACACTATAAATATTTTTAATTTGTACTGTTTATAGATTAATTCAACTAAACTTAAATCTAAAAAAAAGTGCTGATACTGGAATGGAAGCGGCCACTGTTATAGGTGAAAAGTTGAGAAGGTAGAATATATAAGATTATTTCATTTATATCTGTAAGGAACGATGCTTTCGTCGATCGCTTGACGAAAAACAATTCCGAGCGCAGTTCAGTAATACATCATTTTTGCAATTTTTGTTTAAATTTCAAAACGCTTATTAAAAAAAAAAAAAAAAAATTGTCCAATGAATTTTACCAAGTTTCTTGTTTCTACGTATATTTATAACTGAATTTCAGCAAAAATTAAAATTCCTTAAAAGCTCAAAAGTGACTCAAAAGTTTTGGCGATAATATCGTAAGAAAGTCTAAAAAAACTAAATCTATTTTGTGAAATTATTTTATTTATTTATTTAATGTAAATTTTAGAAAATTATACCTAATTATGATTTTTCAATATATATATTATACAGGGTGGTTTTAAATTATAATAGATTTATCTAACTACCTTTTGAAATTGTTAATTTTTATTAGGTACGCGTACGCTAAGTGCTATGGCTTGTGTTAGATATATGTTGCATTTACGTGCATACGTATTGTTGCTCATGCTGAATTCGATATTTATTTTCGTAAAAATATTTTTAATTTAATTAAGCTAATCTGATCTTTTGTGGCAATATGAAACGTTTAAAATATTAAAACTTTTAAAAGCACAAATAGTGATTTAACGGGCTTAACAGTCTTTAATTATGGAATTTCATCGAGTTAGCAGTTAATTTACAGAATATAGGAAATATGTATAATAAAGACCCAGGAAAATAAACTTAGTTTCCTATATATTATATAGGCTTTAAATCCCAGGGTAATATTAATATAATACTCGCGGCTTTGCTTTATTTCAAAAACATAATCGAATTTCTAATTTCTTCACATGGACTAGTACATTCGTCACAATTATTCGTAGCGCTATATACTTTCATATGCCCAATGCTTATGATACGGTTATGAGTCGATAGTTATTATTTATGGTCATCGTCCTTAGAATTGATATAGGTACTTTTAATGCACGACAATTTGTTTGTTTAGCTTAACGAAATAAACCAGAACATTTTGTTTAATAACAAAATACTCAGACATTATGCTGCTATTAAACAGCATAATAAAATTATAAAATATAATCCAATGTGTTATAAGGTTGTAAAAATAGTGGTATTGCGGAAGATTGATTTTACTTCACGGTTAAGGACTATGAATGTGTCTATTTGTATAGGTATATAAGATTAAACCTGTTTTCTTCAATCACACTTACATATATTGTCATTTCGAACTTTAATCCAAGACCGGTTAATGTCAAGGAACTGCAATGTAATCAATCTTGTTTTAATAAGTTTCAGCTTAGGATTTTTTATCTGTGTTTTTCTGTTGGACACTGTAGACAACTATACTCAGAATATAGCAAACAGTGGCGAATTTGAGATTCTGTTTTGAGGAGAGTCCGTAGGTAGATAACCATTGACATTTCAGGAGCACTGCGTACCAATTGCGTCCCGAGTAAAAAGATATAATACTAATTGCGGTCAGGGTTTTTCTTGAGCACCTCCGAATTGCTTCCCGAACACTTGCGACATATTATATTATTACGTTTAATGGTTATTGCACTGGTATTATCGATTTAGTGTAAACGATTATACGTTTTAACTTTGATTATTGCGAGTGAAATGGAAACGATGTATTGTGAAAAACAATGTAATATTTATTTATAATTGGTGGGAAAAATTTTCGATTTGCATTTTTACACATTTTCTCTGAATGAACTATAATCAATATCATATTTTCTCCAAAAAATGCTTTTGCCGGTTTTGAAAAGATAATACATTAAGCTATTTTATCCGTTTGGTCTTCTATAAATCTGAAAGTTGTCGAATCCATTTGGAAATATCGTTTAGCTTTTATAATTTATGGGACGCAACTATTAAATACACGCACAAAAAAAAAAAAATTGTGACGCAACTAGTAAAGCTCAAAAAAATAACCGGGACGAAATTCGGATGGAATTTTTGGCCGACCTAAAATTGATTCTCTGCATATTTTATTTTATTATTATTTATATTGTAAACGTTAGTCCAGTCTATTATAGTTACCTAGCTAGTGGACATCACGTGGTGGTTAGCTGGTGGTTAACTCTCCCATAAAATTTGTTTCTTTACTTTTATAAAGTTATAAATATATTGAAATTGTTACTATTATCATCACATTATTTTTAATATTAAATTTTATTTTTTATTATCACGGATTTAATATATTACCTATTCAAGTTATTACCGCGAATCCAATTCGGGTAATATCAAATAACACTGCGAACCTACTCGAGTTAAATTTAAGCGATCAAATAGCCAGGGACCCAACTCGATTATTCCTGAATTGTAGACGCAATTCGTATGTATCGTTCAGGGATACTAATACAAAAACATTATAGTTATAAATTTATAATATAACAATATTGTAATTTTAATTTGAAAAACGTACACGATTTCGGAACGCTTGTTGGGGGAGGGGGGAATCTACGGTTTTTATTGTTTATGTAATCAATTCTTAACAAATATTCAATTTCATTTATATAATCCTATCATACAATTCGGACTTTCAGTAATAATCTTATAAACAATAATTATAATATTGAATTATTAACGTATGAATAATATAATGTTGAAATGTGTTCAAATTATTTTTTGATCGAATTATTTCATTATTTAATACGAATATTTTACGTAATCATAATATTTGTAAATGTACCTACTATCTACCATCATGTGAATTTTGATTCTAACATTGAAAGTAAGGAACATATATAATTCACAAACAAATTCTCACATATCTGGAGACAAAATACCACCTACTAACCAACTATGAAATTAAATGAAAATTGGTTTTATATTACTTCATTTGACATAATAATATGTAATTATGAATATACCGATAGGTAGGTATTGGTACAAGCTCTCCATTGTTGGAGTGAAGGATCCGAAAATAGTTACTTAATATCGTTCTAATTGTGTAACATACCCACCTAATCAAAAATATTGTGATTTAAAAGTTCAACCGAACGTCTACATTTTTATTCTGAGTTCTTATTTACAAAAATTAATATAATATTATGTAGGTGCCTACCTAATTTTTCTAATACATTGATTTACCTGTCGTTGTTTTAACATTTCAATATACTTATTTAAATATGTGTTGATTTATTTATTTTAAGAACAATTAACGACAATAAATTGTGATAACAGAGGTATAGATAATTATTAATAAGATGTTAATTTCATGTCCTTTGCTACATATTGATATATTTCGTATAGGCAATTTAATTGTTATTAACGTACCTATATTTTTTAAAACGTTTTGTTTAAATAATGCAATTTTTTTTAAATTTATTTATTCGTTTTACTTTTATTCAGTTTAGGTTATATCTACACTACGGATGGTCAAAAATAATAAAAATGGGAATGGGGATAATTACAGTTATACATTTATATTTTAATAGAGTTATACTATAATAATGAATATTACGGCTGTGAATGTGTAGCAATTTAAATACCTATTTATGTTTTGCTCGTTATATATATTTGTACGTTTCTAAATCTTTAGTACGGTCTCTGTTCACTAGGTAAAAACTGTGAATACAAATGGCTCACTATCATGTTTTGCCGAATGAACACGAAGAGAACAGATTGTTCGTAGAATATAATATGACAAATGCACAAGTCAAAGAGGACGTCGCTGCTATTAAGGAATGGATGTTGACATGTTCAAATTTACCAAAGTTTCCGGAATCTAAAAATGGTAGGTAATCAATTACTTCAAATAATAATAATTTTTTATTATATATTTATAAGTTATCTATAACAGATTGTAAAAAAAAAAAAAAAAATACAAAGTAATTTAGGTACATAGGTACTATTCTAATTGCAGCAATAATTGTCCTCATTAATCATTTTACGACACCAAACTTGAGTTAAGTAAAACCTACACCCAATAAATTGAGTTTGTGACCAAATTCAATAAACTGCGTTAATTATTGATTTTTCGAAATCAGTGGTTACATATTACGGCAATAATGTCATTCATAAAGAAGTACATTTTTGTAATATCATGTAAAATGTTTGAACATAAATTTCGGTTGATTTATTTGAAAGTAAACAAAAAATTAATGGGGTATAGTTTCCGTTTTAAAGACTATAGATGATCACTATTTATGTTAAAAAACAAGCTGAGTATTTAAATATTCCATGCATGTATAATATCTTGGTTTCTTTTACGAATAAAATATTGGAGATGCATGAAAATATAATAACGTTTTTCTCTTTGTCATTCATAGATAAAAAAAAGGTTCACCTTGTTTAGTTTTTAAGTCATTTTTTTCAACGGTAAATGAACTTTTTCTAAACTTTTGGAATATGCTGGTAATACTGTGTATCGAGCTTCGTATAAATTATTCCTTGTTCTTTTAACGTCCATTGCAGCAAACTATATTTAGTACTTTCACTTAGTATTTCACTCAGGAAGTCAGGACTCAGTATTTCCAATAATTTCTTTTAAAATAATAATTGGTTTTGGTATGAATGAGGGAGTATCGACTGCTTTCCGTTTACATACTGAGTTAACAATTTACCTTGATATTGTATCACGATTATATGAATAATGGTTATGTGATAAATTATCACGATGATCCTGCACAACAATTTTATTTTCAGTGTACCTTTTGGCATTGCATTCTCCATTAATACACCGCCAACGTGTAGTATTATTCGTTTTTATTCCACGACCTACGCTAAATTTATAGTCATTTAAAACTAATATTGTTTTACCGCGATTGCTCTCTGTAAATTCAGCCGTTATTGAGTTAAAAAAAGAAATAAAATTGAATAAGTAAAGACGTAACGAATATGACACGTACGCAAAGACTATAGATATTGTATTAAAATCTATTTTTTAAAAATAAAATAATATACGGCTGAAATGGAAAGATACGATTTTAGTCGAAAACGGTTATGCCCAGAAAAACAAACATACAGGGTGTCCCACGAAGATATACTCATCATTGTAATATCTCCGAAGATAATAAAAATGATCAAATTCTGTTTTTTTTTATATTTCTCATAGGAATAAGGACTACAAAATATTTATATTTTAATTAACTTTTTAAGTTTTCGTAAAAAAATTAAACAAATAACGTTTTATTTTATTATTTAAAAAAAATGTACGTTTTAAATTTTAAATAATTTAATCTTTTGACAATTTTGATGTTTCAACTTTTTATTTTTAGTAAATTTGTGATTTTTAATAACTGTTTAAAGTTTAGAGAAAGAAAGTATGCAGTCAATTAGCCATAAATAATAATAAAAATAATCAATTAGTGAAATGACTGTAATAGTCTGCTGCATAATTATTGATAGGAACTTTTCATTTTTTCTTTTAAATCAACTTTAAAATTTTTTTTAAAATCTCGAATTTACTGAAAATAAATAGTTGAAACATAAAAATTGTCAAAGGTTTATACTTTATAAAATTGCTATCTTTAAATTTTTCAAAAAAAAAAATAAGTTAATTTTTTTAGTTTTTTTTTTTACAAAAACATACAAATTTAATTAAATTATAAACTTTTGTAATCCTTATATCTGCGAGTATTATAAAAACAGAATTTGATTATCTTTATTATTTCAGGAAATATTGCAATGGATATCATCGTAGGATACCTGTATAATATTAATATCATTACCAATAATGTATACTTTCTTGGTTGTTTTGAGATTAATTATGTGAGTAATCTATAATTAATGTAAGAAAATATTGAATTTTTCAGATGAAATTAATTTTTGGATCGAAGGTTTTCTACGATTGACAAAATGTAATATCGAAAAGTCCAAAATAGCTATAGAAAGTCATTTCCGAATGAAAACGATTTTTCCACAGGTTTTCGATGTTAATGATCTACCGAGTTACGTAGAAAGTGACATATTTGATTATTTGTAAGTAAATCAATATTGCCTCGTAATCGTAAACTTGTGATTCGATATTTTGATTAGATTATATAGGTTTAATGATAATATAGTGAATTATTAACAATCAGTTATGTTTGAAATTAAAGTAAATATGTGGTTAATGAAGGCTGGTGAGTTTAACGTCAAATGTATACGCTTAGTAAAATCAAAGCTATATGCAGTTTTTGGTTTTGAAAAACGTAGAATATTTATTTTTAACAGGTTTAACTAAAATGAAAAATTCCATACTTATATTAATTCGCACTACGTTATTTTTATTGTGAATTAATAGAGAACTTACCAGTTGATAGTGATGCTTTGTCAATAATATATATACATATTATACGTCATATTATGGTAAAATAATTAAATAAGCATTATATTATATTTTCTTTAATACAGTACTGATTTTTCCGTTTTTACCAGTTTTATCATGTTAGTTTATGGTTTTTCAAATTTGCTGGGAAATCTCTTAAAAACATCGAAAAATAAAAGCTTAAGGTACTTTCCCAGTCAGATAACCTTTCAGAAAATGTGCTATCAATGTAAATCAGAGCAAAATTGCTGGCAGAAAACTTGTTCACAATCAAAAAAAAAGACCGACATTTTTTTCAACTTATGTCTAATTTTGTATATTTTCCCGTTTTTTTCGGTTTTTCACATTTGTTGAGAAAACTCTTGGAAAAATCGGAAAATGGCTTTCATAAAGGTTCATCCCAAGAAAATTTCGTTTCAGAAAAGGGTCTATATCGTATACATTAGAGTAAGCTTAAGCTTATTGGTAGAAAAAGTGTTCATATAAAATATAATAAAAATAATAATAAACATTTTTGTAAAACCAATATATTCTTTGCTGTACTCAGAATCTTAAAAAAATTTAAATTAAATAGAATATTTATGTTTATCATACCTTAATTTTTATTTTTTGATACATAAAATAATTATAAATATATATATTTTATTTTTTTTGAATTGTTCTTAATTAGTTTTTATCTGCACAGGACAATGGTGATGTTACCCAAACATACACCAGACGGTTTAAAAGTAATGTATTGCAATTTCAATGATCGTAACACCCATTTGTTTCGGCCAGTCGAAATATATCGGAGAATGCGTTTGATGTTGGATATTTATCAAAAGAAAGGTATCGATTTTACTGGTATTCATGTTGTGATCGACACCAAGAACATTACATTGTCTCATATAAGTCAGTTTGATTTATTCCAACTCAAGAACCTCATTAAACATGCTCAGGTATTATAATTTAAACATATTATTTTTGGTTGTTGTTACAATATGTACCCCGTTAAATTACTTTATATATATATAATAAAGAAAAATTAAATTAAAAACGAATAATGCAACTAGATTTAATATTTTTAATGATAGAAAATCTCAAAAATAGGTAGTTAATAATATAATATTATTTAATTTTATTTAACTTGTTTAATGATGTAACAACGCAATTGTATGAATATTATTAGTATTATTAAGTATTGGAGTATTATAGTATGTTAAGAAATTACACCATTTTCATATAGAATGTAGGTATTTCTTTAACAAAATTTAATTCAGTGTTACCAGCTATTATTAAATTATAACAATAGAAGTAAAATTTAATAATTGACAAATTTCATAGATTGTATTATTGAAGAAGACAGAAATATTATTAATGGACATGATCCAATGAATTATAATTATTATACTAGTTTTCAATAACATTGCAAGGATATACATTTAAATAAAATTAATAATGTGAATAAGAAATAAAGATTTGTTTTTTATTTCTGAAAATTATACATTTTTACAAGTAAAATGTTTTGACTATGACATATAATTATTTTGTAGAAAGCATATCCACTACGGCTAAAGCATACGCATATTATGTTTCCACCTAGTTTCATTGACATAGCTAAAAATGTTTTGAAGCCATTTGTGTCAAAAAAAATGTTTTCTAGAGTAAGTACTAGCTACATAATAATGTAAATATTAATGTTATTGTAAATTATTATTGTGTACCTAGTTATCATTCCATAAGAATCTTGAAACTCTGTGGGAACACATACCTAGAGATGTACTTCCAGTAGAATATGGAGGATATTGTGGCAATTTAGATATGATTAAGGGTAATAGTATTATATTTATAAAATATGTATTATGTACTATAGATAAATATTTATTGAGAAATTTATCTCTTGAAATTTTAAGATAGGTACATGAGTATCAATTCCATTTTTGTAAGATGAAATACTTACGACTAAATGTTACATTTCACATTATCTTTACAATACATTTCTGTCAACAGTATTGTATTGAAATGTATATGTACAAATAAAATAATTTATTTTATTTTCTTACAGAGGAATGGAAGACTTTGATATTGAAGAATTCAGATTGGTTTTTGTCAAACGAAAGCTACAAATTGGAGGACTCAAAACAGACAAAAAAATTACAAAAAACAGTTCCCGTCCAAGAAACATTTTCGTTCAAGACATTAGTTTTGGATTGACCAGTAAAGTTATATATGTATATATGTATACTAATACAATTTGATCAGTTAATATCATACACCCTCCTATGTACACTAATATTTTTTATTTATATAAATTATTGTTTTTCATTTTAAATTTAAACCTATTTATTAAACAGACATAATATAATTGTTATAATAATATAAAAGTTATACATGATTTATTTTTAAAATGATAAAAAGTCAATAAAGAATTTCAGTACATTGGGTATATTCATTTATTTCCAAGAAATGACATTAAATGATATCACGAGTAAAGCAATATTTATTTATTAATATTTAGTGGAATTCAATTTGGTTGTAGAATTATACGAGTAGGTATATTTTGAATACGCTAATAAAATGCGTTTATACTCGTACCTATTAATTTACTCGGTTTTAAACGAAACATCAAATAATAACATTAAGTTGTACATAATATAATATAAACTGATGGTATTTTATGTATATGTATATATTATTAATGGTTATAATAATATATTGAATAATAAATCTAAACACATATATATAACAAATAAAATATCAATTGGAAAACATAAAGAAATAATCATTTTTAACGACAGCAACCGTAGGTTTTATACAGCAGCCAATAATGATGAGAAAACAATTATAAAAAAAAACAAAAAAAAGATAATGTATAATAAAAACTCGATAATAAGTAAAACAGAGTTAGTTTTATACATTATTATAGGATTGTTATCGATTAAGTATTTGTATTCACTAAGTATGTTACTAAAATAAGTCATTGAGCTTTGTATCGGTGCGTTATCTCATAAAATGGCTTGCAGTTTCTTTTTGGCGATTTTGGAGTAAATAATGTCAATAGGCTTTGTCTTGTCGTATAGGGCTGGTGCTTGGAAAATGATCAGTGCTGTACCGATGAGACAGGCCAATGTAAATATCCACAGAAACAATCTGTCAAGAACCATGGCTACATACTGCCAGTCTTCAATGATCTATTGAAGAAATAAAACAATAATTATCATAAAAATCAGTACTCAGTAGTTTGGGTATATCGAACTTTGAATTAGAAAATACCTGTGTAGAAATTTATTCTTCATATTTACCCTTATTCTACACAAGTTCACTTATTTTCGCCTTCCACATCTCCCTGTCTATCATTATTACTTCACATGACCTTAAATAATATAATTTTATCTAATGAAAGTTCTAACTTTTTTCCCCAGTTACCATCTACACTTAACTCATTACAACTGTTTTCCTGACTAGCTCATTATTTCAACTTCTTTCAACATGTAAAATTTGTCTATAATATATGTATACAAAAAAATATATATATGTGTACAAAAAAAATCACTACTACTCACCGCGTCAAATTTATCTTGGTTTTTGACGTGTTGAGCAATGAACTTGGCGTCCTGTATGGTCTGCATGGCAGGATCGTGCCTAGGCTGTTGATCGACCGGACATCCGTGTTGATGCTGATGATGGTGATGCTGGTGTTGGTGATGGCTCTCGAACGTTGGGCTGGCCAGTCCTTCGTCCGTTGTTGTTGCCGGGCTGAACATGTCATCATACTCATCCTCGGCGTCTAGCTCGATGGCATCCTCGTCCTCGTCGTCTGATGCCATGTTCACCACGGTGTCGTTGGATCCAGCAGCTACTACTGTCCCGGCTCCCATGCCACCAACACTGCCGCCGCTCCCACCAACACCACTGCTACATATAGCCCTATATCTAGTGGCTGGTAATGGTGTCGGTACATCGTAGTCAAAACTGTTGTAACCAGTATTATAGCCCATGTACTTGTCGATTTCTGACGGTACATCAAATACACCATGTAGCTTGTCATCATCATCGTCATCCTCATCGATCGAGTCTTCTTTCTTAGGTCGTTCGATGAATAACACCTTGGGCAGGATCTGTATGAAAATTTTCACTACCCACGGTCTCATCTTATGTGTCACCGGTGACCTACATTTGTTACGATGTTATGACTAATAAAAAAAACGATTAAAATTAATTAATATTATTTACCTGAAGTTTACGTTAAGTACAGCCACGGTAACAAATACGGACAGAGTAACTAGGACCATGGTAAATAGAAGATATTTGCCCAACAGTGGGACGGTGAGTGATGTTGGTGGTATAATCTCGACCAAGAGCAGGAAAAACACGGTGAGTGATAGCAGAATGGATATGCAAAGAGAAACTTTTTCGCCTGACTCGGACGGTAGGTAGAAAACTAGCACAGATAAAAACGATATGCCCACACAGGGTATGATCAGGTTTACTGTGTAGAATAGCGTTTTCCGCCGAAGAGTGATGTTGAAGAATATGTCCAGGTAGGGTTCTTCACAACAAACGTAAAATTTTTCGTGCCTGACCGCTGGCACGCCCATAATGTCCCATTCTACCGACAGATAGTAGTCTTGCAGATCGATTCCCACTTCGATGACGTCCGAGTCGGGCGCTTGGGAAATGTGACGCAAATCCATCTGTTAGACAAAAAAAAAAAAAGCCCTTTAAATAAACTATGTTTAGACCACGAGTTCTAACCAACTGCAGTTAATTACGCGTTTGCGGTGAAAAACTATCAAAATATATCAATATAGGTACCTAATTATATAATATATATGTCAACAACTGTGGTGCGATGTCACATCCTATCAATACTGTGATTCAAAATACGATCAACTCGTACATAATTATTATAGTGTGGCTACTTTCGGTGATGACCATTATCCCCAAAAATTACCTTTTCACCGACCGAATAAGAAAAAATTTCGGACACACATCACGTTGCTGAGAACGCCACGTTATTGGCTAACGGTTTCTCACCATGTATCCATCGTACGTCCACGATCCGAATTTCATGGAACATGTTTGCTCATCGAAAGGAAAGTACTCGACGTTGATTTCACAGAATGATTTGTAAATGGCCGGCGGTTTCCAGACTACTTTTCCTGTATAATGTAAGATAGCCTTCGTCATTATTGTCACCTCGTAATTTCCATCAGCACTGTAAAATAAACATAAAGTTTTATGTTAACAATTTTATATATTTATTTCCATAAAATGCGGACTTTACTTTTTTTGAAAAATAAGGAATATTACAAAAATAAAAATGTTAACTATACTCCGTTCCATATAAGAACGCACCGCTCGGCGCATTCAAATGTATCGCGGACGTTTTGTCCCTTTGACCGAGTCTATTCGATCTATGATTGGTCGCCGTTAGTCGGCTGCGCGAGTATTGACCGATACCGTCCGCCGCCCGGTGAATTCTTATTTTGAACGGAGTATGTAAATGTATAACATATATATATAATAACATACTATTGCATTATAATACAAATATAGAAACTATTACATAATAGGACAGAAATAAAAACACAGACCATAAAAAAAAAAAAAAAAATTATTATTATATATTCTATTATTATTATATATTCTTATAGCTAAGAATTTCCTCTACAAAATACATGTATTGAGTATAGAGTAAACTTGAATACATTTGTACTGCAGTTTATGAAAAAAAAAAATAAAAACAAAAACGTTCGAATAGTTTTAATTCATAACCGTTAGGGGCTTAAATTTAAAACATTTTTTTTTTTTTTATTATCTTAATATGCGACAGAACAATTAGGTATTTTATTTTTTTTTTCATTTATAAATTTCAAATAGCCAAAAAAAAAAAAAATATTAGCATTTATATTTTCAAAATAACAGAAAAACCAAATTTGTCTCAGTTTACTTTTAGCCATAACTCCAGTGCAAAATTTTTTTCTCAAAACTCAAATTTTGCATCTACAATAGTAATCAGATGATCTACTAACGAGATCCCAAAAAAAAATTATAATTTTTTGAACATTTTTAATGTCCTAATTTTGCCAACTAAATTTCATTTTCAGACCACTATGCGCCGTTTATTATGCTGCAAGTAATGCAACACTGCTATCTTCCTGTGGAACTTAAAAACGGAATATCACGTCAGCAGGTGGACAGAAGTTAAAAATTGCAACGCCAAAATTAATAAGTAATTTAATGAAATGATATTCTGCATTTGAAAATTGGGAATTACAGGGTTAATTTAATGTGTATTTTAACAGTTTAACAGTTCCTTCTAATACTAAACATAAATATGAGAAGACTATTTCATATCAAAATGAAATTGTAATGCATTGATACAAGCGTGGACTAAAATAAACTACATAATTATAATATTTTACAATTGCAAACACAATAATAAGAAGAATAAACACTGAAAATATTTTAAAATATAATTTTCCAAGATTATACAATATACATATTAAATAATTGATAATGTGCTATTATTAAAAATACAGTGGCAGCTCGTAGTCCGAACAATCTTCGCAGCTTACAATTCATCGCGATTAGTAAAACATGAGATGAGTGGTAAACTACGAGAATGTTATGACAATTATATGTTTTCGGAAAATTGATAGTTGTTGATCACTGAAGGTACTGCGGTAGCTCGTAGTCCGAACATTCTCTGCAGCTTACGACTCATCGTGATTGAAAAAACATACGATGAGTCGTAAGCTGCAGGAATGTTGTGACAATTATGTTTTCGGAAAATTGATATTTATTCATCATTAACGTTACTGTGGTAGCTCGAAGTCCGAACATTCTTCGTAGTTTACAACTCATCGTGATTAATAAAACATGCGATGAGTCGTAAGCTGCGAGAATGTTTCTGACATTAAATTATCCATTGTAGATTTTAGCTACTTGATATATTATCTTAGTAAAAAAATTACATTAATAAAATACGAATTGTCAAATAATGCTATTTCCAAAATCAAAATATATTATATTACGTTGTTTAATATCTAGTATAAGTTAGTTACTTATTTTTAACCTAAAATAAAAAATAATACGTACATTTTTAACTTAAGATATAAATAATAGATAAATGTTTAATTTGAAGGGTGAGAATTATTGATCAATAACTGCATACGCAAACGAACATTTTCCCAAATATTGGACACAAA